CGTTGGCTCGCCCTCGGTCGCGCCGCGGAGGGGCTGGGCGCGCTGGAGGGCGGCCGCGCGGGGCGGGAAGGGGCGGCTGGGCCGGAGGGAGCGGCCCGCGGGGGGGGGCGCCGGAGCCGGGGCCGGGGGCTGGCATGGCGGCCGGCCCCCTCGCTGCCGCGGTGCGGAACGTGGCCGCCGGGCGCCATCCCGCACGGGGCAAGGTTGCTTCGCGGGGCTCTCGGCGCCGCGAGCAGCCCCTGGCCGGCCTGGCAGAGTGCGGCCAGTGCCTGGCTCGTGGAAGACCGACTGCGAGCCAACCGGTGAATGTCCGGGGCACTGCTCCCGTCCGACTGGGGCTGGCCCAGACTGTCCCCAGCAAGGAGGCAGCGCTTTCCCGCCTGCAGCTGTCGTGGGATGTGGCCCCTGCCCAGGCGTCCCTGTCCCTTGGCAAGAATTCCTAAGGCAGGCTTCAAAAGTCGCTCTGGACTGGAGCGCTTCTGAGGATTGCCTGGCCCTGCCTCTGGCCCAGCACACATTCAACCGTTTTTACTCACGGAACGCAAACCAACCGCAGAGAATCACTTGGAGAAGACGGCACCGTGATGCTTGTGACCACACTTTGGACTGGGAGCCCAGGCTGCAGCCCATCCACCGCAGCAGCTTGGCACCGTTGCTGCTGCAGCTTTCTGTCAGCAGAGGGGATGCCCTCCCAGGAGCCCCCACGGAGGGCTCTCCTTTTCCAGGCTTCCTCTGCTTCCTTGGCTGCCTGGATGGCCTAACCACGGTCTCCCGAGTCTCTCTCGGTGCTGGCTTCCTCACTTTTGGCAGCGGATGTGTAAATCTGCAGTCTGCAGTCGTGGGTTTTGTTTTCTTAGTGTTCAGCTGCAGTTCCACTTTTGCACTTTCTTCTTTCACTTTCATCCACAATAATTTCCGTTCATTGCTCCATTCTGCCAGTAATATGCTGCCATCTGCATATCTTAAATGAGTGAGGGATCCTCTGCCCATTTTCTCTGACCCTAATTCAATGTTTCTTTTGATATGTTTTGCATACAGATGGAACCGACAGGAAGACAAAATACATCATAGTTTGATGCCTTTGCCAAGAGGAAGCTATTCTGCGCACCTCACAATAACTTCTTGTCCAGGGTGCAGGTCATGCACGAGGACAATCAAACACTGAGGCACCCGCATTTCTCGCAGAGCTTCGGGTGACCTGTTCCATCAAAGGGTTTGCCAGAGCCTGTAAGGAGACTTTGTTGCTGTCTCTGGCATTTGGCCCATTCTAACATGCTGAGAGGCTTTCCATGGCAAATTTGCTCATGACTGACCGCCATCGCATGCCTGGGTGGCTGTGGTGCAGCTCTCCTTTGTGCGCCAGGGGCCTCGTGATGCTAGAAGAGCTGGAGGAAAGGCGCTGTGCTTCTGCAGAGATGCATCACCCCGCAGGCCTCTGTGTCACCCCCCACGTTACTCCGCTTCCCAGCAGAGCACACTGGCAATGGTCAGAACGCCATTGCACACCCCCCCCCCCGGGCTGCTGCGGCCCAAAGACCCTCTGGCCCTTTTGGTGATGCTGTGCCTGCCTGCCTGCCTCCCAGCTAGTGTTGCGGTCGCATCCTGGCAACCATGGGGAGGAGCTGAGCATGATGCCCCGCTGCTGTTGCAAGCTGTTTTCTTGGAAGGGAGCAGCCCAGCCTCTCTAGCTAGGCGACAAGGGCTTAGAAGGGACCACGCTAGCTTGAAAACAACCTTCAGACAAGTTCGAATTCCGTGCCCCACAAGTGGCCCTCCTCTGCTTGAAGCACCCTCAAAAGGAGGGCTGGGTCACTTTAAACAAACATGTGCGCCACATCCGGTTTCCCAGGTGGCGGATCAAAGGTGAGGGCTCATCCACGTGGCACGCTCAGGCCATGGGGCGCCAAGGCACCATCATCGCAGAGGGCTTGCAGCGGTAGCAGCGGGAGAAGCAGGAGGCCAGCAGGAAAACTGAGGGTGGCTGGCCGTGTGTCATGCTGGATCAGAGCAGCCCACCCCAGAATACTGTTTGCTGGGAGCACCATCCACTGTGGAGGGATTCTGATGACCCCTGCCTACGATCATTGCATGGATACCCCTCCTGCAAGGAACCCGGGGGTCCACCAGCCTCTCCAGTCCCTTGCCTAGGCGTGAGAGCCCCGCGAGGTGGGCGAGGCGGGGAGCCCGCGAGTGGCCCAAGCTCACCCAGGGCGCTTCCCGGCACAGCGGGCCCCCGCCCACTAGGTATCCCGGTCCCGTCGCGACCGCCCCCTCGCCCGGGGATGCGCACGTGCCCCCGCAGCCCAGCGCCGCGGACCGCCGCCACCTCCGTCTGCGGCGCACGCGGGAGGTGCCCCGCCTGCGCTGCAGCGCGGCGGCGGCGGCGGCGGACTGCGTTTCCCAGGAGGCCAAGCGCGGGCGCCGTTAGTGTACGTCGCGGGCGCGCGGGCGCGTTGCTGGGCTGCCCGGGGAGGCCGCGGCGCCGAGAGGGGCGGCGGGGCGGGGCGCGGCCATGGCGGGGACCGCGGCGGCGTGGACCGTCCTCGTCCTGACCTGCCGGCCCCGAGACCGCGCCTTCGCCTTCCAGAAGGGTGAGCGCCGGCCACGCCGCCGGGGCACCCGCGGCCGGCCCGGGCCCCTCCCTGGCTCGCGTTCCTGCTCCGCCGGCGTGGGACGCGTATCCCGGGACCACCCCAGGGCCCGCGTCGTCTGGACGACGGGCGAGCCTGCCTTGCCGCAGTGGCTGGCCGCGCTGTTGGGGACGAGGGAGATGCAGCCAGCGCATCGGGAGGGCCACCGTTCGGGACGGCTGGCGCATTTCAGGCCCTGGGAATCGGACGCTCGGCGCTGGGCCGCCTCCCTCGCGCCGGTGCTCACGCCGACCCCTCTCTGTTTGACGGCCAGAGCTCGAGATCCGCCGGGAGCGAGGGTCCCTGGCTGGGCAGCCCATCCTCCTCACTGTGGAAGACCCCAAGGCCGAGGTGGGCAGCGGAGGGGCCACCCTCAACGCTCTCCTGGTGGCTGCTGAACACCTCAGTGCTCAAGCAGGCTGTACAGTGAGTACACAAGCACCTGCGGACACCCCCCCCCCCCACTTGCTGGTCTCTTGCCTGAGCCCTGCAGAGCTGTGGCACCCCTGGGCCTGCCAGGTGGCAGGGCTGCTGCCTGTGCAGGTGTGTTGGCTGGCAGGTTCCGCTGCAGGAGCGGGAGAAGGGCACCTGCAGACTTGCATCCTGGCGCGCCTTTTGTCAGTTCATGTGAGGGGCAGCCCGCTGCTGCGCAGGCCCAGCACACAGCCTGTTTGCTGTTGGCAGAGGTGGAGCAGAGTGCAGACGCTGAGGGAGAGGCTGAAGAGGGACGCCAGCTTATATAAGTCACATCGCACTTTCTAGTTTGTAAAACATTCTCCCTCAAAAGCACCTGTAGAGAAAGACCCATCTTCCCCTGGTTTTGTGCTTGGATCCTGTGCCTACTTACATAGAACAAGTTCCACTGAGTTCAGGCAGACTTTTTAGTAAGCTCGTGTATAATTGGTCTACATATCCCATTAACCTTAATCCCTCACACGTGATTTCTCTAGCATCCTTAGCAACACAGAAGGCAGCGTGGGGCAGTGCCTAACTTTAAAGCCAAGGGGTTGGGGTGGGACAGCCCTTATAATAAGGAATGATGTGCCCCTCTGGGGCCCCTCATCCTATGCAAAGGGGGAAGCATTGTGTTCTGTGATTCCTGTGTGCACCTCTGCTGAGCCATCCTCTGCTCCCTCCTGCCCTTGTCCACTTGGTACCAGCTTCCACTGCTCTTAATGGCATAGAAATGAGCCTGCATGCAAATATGGTAAACTAGGCTCTAAAAGGGGAGCAAAAGAAAAAAAGAAACTGTACCGAGAAACCATAATGCTAAATTTGATAAACTGTTGGGAGCAAGTTGAACTGGCCCTTACTTGCTCCAAAAGACATAATGGATGTGATCTAGCAGTATTGCAAGCCAGTGCCTACATAACCATTCCAAATAACTTAACCTTGCGAGTGGTTTGGCAGATCTTGTACCAGACAGTGAGCATAAAAATGGACTGCGGGTGCACTCAGTTATACCAAGAATCAGCCTCAGCACTTCCTTTGAAAGTGCTCCGGATCAGAAGTGTTCAGCCCGCAAATGGCTGCTCCACGATTCCCAGCCTGCGTGGCCGGTGGTCTGATACCCAAGTGGCGGCTGGGCTTTGAGTGAGGATTTGAACTGGATTCTGCACTGAGCAGGAGCAGACTCACTCGGTGACTTCAAGGATCTCCCAGCAATATGACTTCCAGCCCTGTGGGTTACCTCTGAGATTCTGTACATCTCTTCCAGGTGATCACCTCGGATGTCTTACAAAAGGCTCGGATTCTTATCCTGCACATGGTGAGCTTCTGTGTAGGCTGGGGTGGCTACACCAGTGTCAGCAGGAGCCTCTGGGTGGAGAGGTGCTCCTGAGAGGAGGCAGGCAGGGAGGCATCTGGGCTGGGGCGAACGGGGTGGGCCCAGAATACTAGCCTAGTTTAGCATGCAGTTCTTAGAACTGGCAGGCAGTATGTAGGGCTTCTCTTGTTAAAGGCTTGCGTCTGTCTGCTGCCTTTGTCCGCTAGGCCTGCTGGTTGCTTGGCGACATGCTGTGTAATGCACTGCTCTTTGCTGGTGAGGCCTTATAAAGGGGGACTGGGAGCCCTGGCTAGCACACGGAGGGCTGTGTCCACTGGGGGCTGAGGCTACATTGCTCTGGAAAAGAGATGCCCCCTGCTGCACGAACCAGAGGGGCACAGGTTGGCCAAGCAGGCAGCTCGCAGGTCTGCTCTCCTGTTTTCAGGCATTCTCTGTTTGCCTTATCTTGTATTTTGTCAGCCTGTGATCAGACGTGCCTGTTTGTTTATCTGGCCTTGTGGTGCTAATTTTGCGGTTTTTCAGTGAGAGAATTTCTTCCTATGTGGCCGAACCACTTGGAAGTGCACCAGGGGTTAGATCCAAATTTGGAAGGGTGGATTGGCGGTAGATGAAGGTTCCACTGGGACACAAGAGGGTCGCATCCAGGAATGGCTCCTCGCCCTAATTCTCCCCAACTGCTGGGTGCTTTCTTCCTTTGATTTGGGTGTCCCCCCCCCCCCCCCCCCCACACAAAAGGTGGAAAGGCCTCTTTCAAAAGCTGTGCTAGGATTTCACCCCATCCAGAGCGGGGCAGTGGGGCCATTGTAGAGCAGGAAAGCACCCAGCGTTGGTCCATCCGGACAAGGGGACATGGGCAGCCAGGGAGTCTGGGCGGGACCAGCTGCTGTAACGGGGCCTCGGCTGCACCTGCCTGGAGAGGGGCTGCTGCCCCTTTAGCTGCCCCATGTCTGTTTCTGTCCTCTCAGGGTCGAGACTTCCTGTTCGACGACTGCAGCCGAGCATTTACCTGCCTCCCGGTGGAGGATCCCACAGCCCCAGCTGAGGCTCTCACCTGCAATCTGGACAACCTCCTGGCAACCTTGACGAAGCAGGTTGGTGGAACACAGGCCTGCTCTTGCCCAGCCTGTTGCACTGGGCCTGTGGCACAGCACCTCACCTGTCCGTCGCAGCGTCTCCTGATCCGAGTCAAGAGGACGGCCCGAGACACTCTTCCGGGCAGCGGTGGGCAATCTCGGCTCCCACACTCCTGGAGAGATGTGCGGATGAAAACGAGTTGTATAGCTGCAGGATGGGGGTGGCAGTGGGAGGGGGAGCCCTGCGGACGCTGTGTTCTGTTCATGGTCACCCTGGGTGCATGACGAGCGGGGCAGGCAAGGCCTGAGGCTGAGAACACCAGTCGCATTCTGCTGCAGTTCTGGCTTTAAGAGGTATTTTTTGGATTACGAAGCATTTGCAAACTCACTTGGCTGGTTTCGGAAAAGAGGCTTTTGGCAGATAGGGAGTGAATCAGCATCATAGAGCGCCAGGCGCAGCGCGATATGTGCGGCCCTGGAAGGATTGCCTGGGGTGGTTCTGGGGCTCTGTCTGAAGGCGCCTCCCCTGCTGGGTTCTGCTCACACTTCCCTCTTGCATCCACCTCTAGGTCTGCCGGGATTCCCCACCTGGGGTGTGGGTTTGCAGCACCGATATGCTTCTCACAGTTCCTACCATGACAGGTGAGCGCATGGGGTGGGGGGATCACAGGCCCCTTCAGTGGAATGGTTGACATGCACCCCAACATTTCTGAATGTGCTTAATCTGCACATTAACCCGTTATCGTGTATATTTCCCCTTCCCCTCCATCTCCTCCCTCCTGCTCAGCAATTGATTGGCAAGGATTCCAGGGAGCAAGAGTCATCGCTGTGCCCGCCAGTGTCTCCTATGCCCGGAACCACGGCGTCTACCTCACTGATGCCCAGGTAGACTGCGAGAGGCGCCTGGAGACGCACAGGGTCGCCCCGGCAGCCCCCTCCAGAGCCATGACGGCCCCCCCCCCATGTCCCAGCAGCATCCTCCCCGGCTGGTCTGAAGTCTGGACAGTTGCAGGAGTCTTGCCTAGGCACCTGGCCTGGGTTTCTGATCCTCACTGGCGTGGAGGGTCCCGCCGAGGCTCCGCAAGCCCTGCCATGCAGCTGCTCCCCGAGAGGAGGCATGGCCTGTGCGCCACTCCTGCCACATTCGTGGAATTGTGTGGGCGCCCCAGAAGGGAGCCAGAGCAGAGTGGCTGCCTGAGTGAGCGAGCGAGCGAGCGAGCGAGCGAGCGCTTGTGCTCAGCATACCTGTGCCTCTCCCCTCCCAGGGGTTCGTGCAGGACATTCTGTACCAACGCCCGGAAGAGGAAATCCGGCTGTGCCAGGGGCCGGACAGGAAGGTTCCCTTGGTGAGTGGGCCGCTGGGCCCGGCGGGCCGGGCGTGTCTGGGTGGTGTGGGCCATCCTGGCCCAAGCCTCTCATTCCCCCCACAGGTGTGTGGGATTGTCTTCTTCTCCTCCGAGACAGCCGAGTTGCTCCTGGCCACTCACGTCACCCCCCCACTCGACGCCTGCACCTACCTGGGGCTGGACTCGGGTGCCCCTCCCATCCAGGTAAGGTCTGCTCAGGGGCTGGGCCCCCAGGAGAAGTGTGGGGGAGGTGGCCAGAGGGGCTGGGGAGGCCTCCCAGGCTAAGCTTGCGGGGCGAGGAAGAGACTGGGGAAGATGAGAAGCAAGAGCTGCCCTGGAGGCATGCAGCAAGCCGTGCACTGAGTGCTCTGGGACGACTGGAGGCACGCACCCTGCTCCCGGCGAGCAGCCGCAACGCTTGCGTCTGCTGCGGGTGTGCACAGGGCGATGGACGCACCGGAAGGGTAGCCGGGCGGGCAGCACTCGAGTCTGGCCGTTCTTGTGCGTGTGTGTGTGTGGAGGGGGGCGGGTAGCGTTGTCAGCCCAGTACCTGCATGTGGGGATGCAAAGGGGGCAGCACGTTGGCTCCCAGGAGCCACATTTCCTCTGCACTGCCCCATAGCACAGGCGGCAGGCAGGATGTGTCCTTCCCCATCACAGTGGGTACCGTGTGCCCTGTGCTGGCGGCACCCCCGGGGCCCCCGGTCTATGCAACTGAGCCGCTAGTTTGAACCTGAGGGCCTTTGTGGGCCGCCTCCTGTACTCTGTGATGATGGGACAGGCTACGGCTGTGCTGGCTGCACTGCAGAGCTCACTCTGTCATGGAAAAACACCCCCACCTGCGCTCGGTTTGATCTTCCCCGGTCCTTGGGCCCCCGGTGACCTGCAGGGGCTTCCAGCATCCCTCTGCCGTGGCGCAGTCCCGCTGCGCTTGCGGACTTGCCTGCAGAGGCAGAGTCACGCAGCTCCCGTCTTTGGAAAGGATGCTTTCTAAGGTCTGGGGACATGTGCAGGACCTTCTCCCATCTCGCCTGCTCTGCCGGGCTCTCAACCAGCTCCAGTTGTGGTTCCGAAAGTGTGGCAGTGCTCTGCAGTGTGGCGCCAGCGGTCCGGGGTGCCTCGCGCAAGGTGGGTTATGTGTCAGGGAGGGGCGTTGGCTTGCCTGGCACTCAGGGCCCTCCCTCTCTCCTCCCCAGCTGTCCCTCTTCTTTGATGTCCTGCTGTGCATGGCTCGCGGGGTGAGCGAGGAGGCCTTTGTGAAGGGACGGAGCCTGAAGACAGGCGCTGGAGACTCCCCGGAGGAAGCAGCGCTCAGGAGTGTGCGGTCCGTGCTGTGGAAGGCGCTGCACACGGTGCCGCTCACCATGGGTGACGTGAACTTCTCTCCTTGCTGGGCTGCCGGGGCTGCGCTCCTCTCGTGCGCAAGCTGAGAAGGCCTCGGGCGGACGGCAGGCTGGGCGGGCGGGCAGCAAGCACTCGGCCACCCCATTGCAGAGGGCAGGCTGGCTCCCCCCATCTGTGGCACTCGCCCTCTGGGAGGGGAGGGCAGCCCTGAAGCAGAACAGCTGGCTCCCTCTGGGGCCGGCCTCTCTTCCTCTGGCCTCTGGGAAGGCGTGTGGCCGGGGGTGGGAGCTTCCCTCCCACCCCGGCTCTTGTGCGGGAGCTGTGCTGCCTGGGGGGGCACGGCTTGTGGAGGCCCCCTGCCTCGGGCCCACGGTTTCCCCCGTGGTGCTCACGGCTGCCCCTCCCTCTGGGCAGCATACATCCCCCAGGCCTGCTGCAGCTACATGACCCAGTCCGCCAGCGATCACCTCCACCACCTGACCGCCTGTACGGGCCCCGCCGGCAGCAGCTCCTTCCGCAAAGTGGCGCATTCCCACGTGGCTGTAAGTCTTGTCCCACCCCCGCCCCTCCTTGCTTTGGCAGGCGCGGGCTGCCCCAGCTTTCCGTCTCTGGGCCGCGGGGCTGGCTGCGAGGGGGGTGGAGCCGATGGGTGGACAGCGTCCGGGGGAGCAGTGCCCTCCCAGATCCACCGGATTCCGACTCCTGTCCCCGAGGTCTCCCTCCAACAGTTCTGCGCTTCTTTTGTGCCGTTTGTTCTTCATGATTCCCCTTGTAATAATGCAGACCCTGCGCGCTGAAAGCAGGTGGGTTAGGAGAAGGGGCAAAGGGCCGACCAAGCCCACCTGCGGGCCTTCTTTCTGCTGAGTGCTACTCTGGCTTCCCCCGTTCCCTTTGAAGTTGTTGTGCACGTTTGCGTGTTTGCTCGGCAAGGGCCGTGCACCGAGCACCCCCCCCCCCCCCAACAGGGAGCAATCTGCAGGCCCATGGAAGGGCCACAGAGCCAGGCCACCGCCTCCGCCTCCTCACCTCCCCCTTTGCATGCAGGAGCCTCAGCTTCTGGAAGACGGCTGCTCCATCACCAACAGCTGCTTGGAGGGAGCGGTGGCCGTGGGGACTAGGAGCGTCGTCCAGCACTGCCACCTGCAGGTGTGCCTCTGGGGCCCTGGCCCTCTGCACCCCGGCACCTCTAAGGGTCTCTGCCTGACCCGGAGCCCTCCTGGGCTGCCTCCGGCTGGGGCGGACTTGGGAACCAGCCTGCGCGACGGTTGGTGGGAGCCGGCTGAGGCAGGAGGAGCAGCGGGTGGGCTGGCCGTGGCCCACAGGGGGGCAAGACCAACCCAGTGCGCCTTGGGAACGGTACTCCTGGACTGGGCAGGCGGCCTCCAGCCCCACCTGCTGCTTGGCCAGTGGGGTGGCGGGGCGCAGTGGGTCTCTGCACAGAGCTGCCGGGCTCCTCGAGTGCCGAGTGGTGGGGCAGGGCATCTCTGCGCGCCAGGCTCTGGTGGGAGGAGCTGGTGAGGGGGGCCGGGGCCTGAGCCAGGGGGCCTCCCTCTGCCGCCGGGGGTTGCCTGTGGAGGCCCAGTGCTGGTCCTGCGTGAGGGCGGCAAGCGCAGCTGCGAATTGCCGCGGCCGTTCTCCAGGGTCCCTTGCAGATCCGCTCTGGCTGCCTCCTCACTGGGCTTGACGTCACCGCCTTGGGCGCTCTCCGGAGCCACCTGCTGGAGGACGTGGTCCTTCAGGGACATGCGGTCAGGCTGAGGGATATCACCTGCAAGGTGTTCACCCTGAGCGGATGTCGGGACCACTGGCAGGTGGGTATGGGCAAAGGGGTAACCCTAATCCTCTCCTGGCTGGGGCTCCTGGAAGCCCCCGGGCACAGCTGATGCTGCGCTCCCCTCACCTGCTTTGGGGAGGGGGCTTCTCCAAGCATGTGCCAGGTGCTCCCTGCAGGCTCTTAGAATCCTGGCCCCCCCTTAAGCAGAAGCCCTTTTGCCCACTCTGGGGGCCCTGAAGCCGACCCTGTTCTTGCCCCAGAGCCCAGCACAGGAAGACGGCACCTACCTGAACATGCCGTGGGCAGCACTCTTCCTCCGGACAGGAATACGGTATGCGCCTGCGTCCCACGCGGCCTCCGCTCCCCGCCCGAGGGCTCCCCCAGCATCCCCTTCAATGCGCTGTCGCAGCTCTGGCTTAATGGCATCGCGGCCCAGTGCCACCCGGACTTGCCTGGCCCTCGACCTTGCCGCTGCCTTCCAGCTTCCACGATTGCCAGTGCGCTTCTCCCCAGTCAGGAGCCAAGATCTTTGGAGCCCCGACGTGCCCCCAGGCGGCTGCTGCCTGCTCAACGCTCGCCTCCTCCCTGTGCTGCATGTCTCTGGGCCCGTGCCGCCCGGGGACCTCCTGTGGCTCATGGGCAGCCCAGAAGCGGGACAGCTGCAGCGCTGGCGCAAGGCCTGGCGCATGTCCTGGGAGGAGCTGCGGGCTTGCCTGGACCAGGAGGCCGAGCTGGCTGCCCGCCAGGCCCTCTTCTTCCGGCAGGCGCAGCACAAGCTCCGGCGGGTGCTGCTGGGGCGTGGCAACCACAGCCTGCTGCCTCTCCTGCGCTCCGCCGCCCTGGAAGGCTTCCAGGAGCTCACACTGGAGACACTGGACCAGGGTAAGGGGGGTGTCGGTGTGCGAGAGACGTGCGCGTGTGGGGCGGGTGCACCCTGCAGCCCCTCTGCAGGGCTGGGTGAGAAGGCTGCCCTGGCTCTCCGGCCTGCATAGCCTCCTTCCACTGCTGCCTTCCTGTCTGGGGTCCTTGGGCGTCCGCTTCGTCTGTAGCTTCTGGCCCCCGGGGGCTGGGCAGCTCTGCCCCCTGCCCTGGTGCCTTGCGGATGCAGGTGAAGCAGGCGGCAGTAGGGCTGGACCCTGCAGGGTGCCCAGCGGGTCCTGCTGGCACTTGGAACTCTTGTGCTGTGGCAGCTGAGGCTGCTGCCGTGGGAGGGAGCTGAAGGTGGGCCACAAAACCTGTCGCTTGGAGGCCCCAGCCTTCCAGGAGGTGCCGACTGGATCGCCAGAGCTGACGGGGCTCTTTCAGCCCATCTGAGATGCTGTGGAGGCCGAGGTGCTGCTGGGGACATCTTGGAGCCCGGGCACCCTTGTGAGGTTCCCGGGCAGAGGTGCGGCAGCTGTGCGTCCGGCTTTCTGGGCCTTGACGCCCCTTCCCTTCCCCCCAGTTGCATCCACAGCTCAGGATCCAGGGGTGGTCGCCCGAACCCTGGCCTGCATCGCGGACCTCCTGGGCTGTATGGCCAGAGGGGAAGGGGGCTTACGGAGCGGCCCCGCAGCCAACGCGGCCTGGGCCTCTGCTTTCCGGCACCTCGAGAGAGGGGACATTTCTGCAGGCACGAAGGACCTGGCCGAGGAGAGGAAGAAGTGGCTGGACAGGTACTGGGGTGGGGCGGGGGCTGGCTCACCCCTCCCCTGGGGCCTGCTGGACAGGATGGCTTTTCAGGGCCCTCCCCACTGCGTGAAAGCCCCCGGCTGGCTGGGATCTCCCTGCCATTTTGCCACCCGAGACGCACTTTCCCCCAGCTGCTGCAGGTGGATGGAGCTCGTATGCTGGGCAGCCCCGCAGGCGCCTCCTGTGAACGGGGTTGAATAGTGGGGGCGGGAGCAGTGCCCCCCTGGGCCTGTGCTCTAGAGGCGCTGCGGCCTCTCAGCAAAGCAAGGTGGGGCTGCACTCTGGGGCGGCCGCCTCCTGCCTGTTTCCTTTGGGCAACCAGTGTGCTGAGCTTCCCCCCTGGATCCTGGTCCAGTCTTGGTGGCCCATTCCTGAGAGCGGCCTGGTCATTGGGAGAGCAGAGCTGGGGGGGGCACGGCAGGGACTGGGAGGGCATGTGTGGAACATGTAGCTCCACCAGTGGGGCGTTGAGTGGCCTTGGGCAAGCCATGCCCCCCCCCCCCGAGAATGGGAAGAAGGACCCCGGCCTGCAGCGGGGCTGCCGTGGGAGCGAGGCGGGGCTTTCGGGCCAGAAGCTCCTGCCCGGGGTGTGGCTGCAGCCACGTGGACGAGGCTCCCTCCGGGTGTCCGCAGGCCCATCCTGCTGGTCCGTGCGGCGCGACACTATGAGCGGGCAGCGCAGATCCTCATCCGCCGGACGGTGATGGCCTCCTGCCGGTTTGTGAGCCTCCAGCCAGCCGAACCGCCTCCCGTGGGTGCCTGGGTGACCGTGGAGTGCCCAGCTCGGATCGACCTCTCGGGTGAGTGCGGGGAGACTGGCTGCTGGGGCCCGGCTTGCCTGCCCTCCTGGCCCTGGGCCGCCGCCTCTGCCCACCCGGTCCAAGTGGACGCTTGGGAATTGCCGGACAGCCCCAGATCCCAACTTTGGCAGCTGGAGTGGGCACGGGCGGGGGCAGCATGGCTGCCGAGGGTGGGCCCGTGCCTCGGGTGCTGTGCTGCCCTGAGGCCTGCTGAGCCAGCCCCAGAAGGTGCCGGCGGAGGCCCGTGTGCCGCCACAGCGGCGTGGCAGACGCAGGCTGCTGGGCGTGGGGTCCTGTGCGGTGCTGGGGGGATGCCGCCGCCCAGGCACCGCCCTGCCGCAGGCTCGGGGCGGTCCCCCTTCATTTGCTGAGGCGCTTCTGACGCCTGTTCCCTAGGCGGCTGGAGTGACACCCCACCCATCTCGTACGAGCACGGTGGAGCAGTTGTGGACCTGGCCGTCCTGGTGGATGGGCACAGGCCCATCGGCGCCCGGGCCCGGCGCATCTCCGAGCCGGAGCTGTGGCTGGTCAGTGCCAGCGGAAGCCTGGAGGGGGAGGTGGTGGTGGAGCACGTGTGCCAGCATCTGGAGGACTTGAGGGATTACTGCCAGCCGCATGCCCCAGGTGAGAGCAGCGTGCCCAAGTGGCGCCGTGGCGCAGGCCCGGGTGGGTCCTGGTGCCTGCCATGTGGCCGCTCCCAGACCATCCTCGGGCACGTGGCGTGGCTGGTGGCGAGCCCTGCAGGGCCCGTGCGGCTGCTGCAGGGAGGGCATAGGGCCTGCGTGCAGGCGGGGTGTGCGGGGAGGGGCTGTGGCTCAGCCGGGGCCCCGCTTGGCACGTGGAAGGCCCTGGAGCGTCCTCTGGAGGAATCCTGCCTGAAGCCCGGGGGGTGGGGGGCACGGCTGGGCTGGGTGGCAACGGGCGTCTGGCTGGGGACGAGGCTCTTGCTCATGCAGCCGGGTCCTGTTTGGGTGGCTCGGCCTCCAGCCACGATGCAGTGTGTGCTGTGGCTGCTGGGCCCGTGGCAGCTCCTCCTCTGGGTGCCTTCCGTGGCGAGGCGGGGCGTAAAGGCTGGGGACTGTCAGGGCCTGCCTACGTTCCCACCTGCTCTCCATCTCTTTGCAGCGGCACTGCTGAAAGCGGCTTTCATTTGCTCTGACGTTGTGAGCCTCTCGTCCAAGAAGGCCTTGCGGGAACAGCTCGGCGAGCGCTTTGGGGGTGGCTTTGAGCTCCACACCTGGTCTCATCTGCCACATGGATCGGGGCTAGGTGAGTCGGCAGGTGCCTGCTCCCGATCTGCGTGTGGGGGCGCCGCCAGGCCGTGCCCGAGGATGGCGAGCAGGCCTACTCTTTTGGGAGGGTTTTCTGCAGGGTGCAGCGGGTGTCAGCCAGACTTGGGCTGGCGGCTCAGAATATCCTCACTCCACGAGGATCGCCCAGGCTTTCCAGAGGGAGGGAGCCTCTGGGTTCCTCTGCCTTGGCGCCTGGTATCCTGGAGGCTTTCCTGGCAAGAGACCCTCGTGGGTGGGCCTGTGCTGCACTGGCGCTTATTTGTTTCCTTCGGCAGGCACCAGTAGCATCCTGGCTGGTGCTGTGATGGCATCGTTGTACCGGGCATCCGGGCGCTCCGCCAGCACCGAGTCCCTGATTCACGCCGTGCTACACCTGGAGCAGGTTCTCACTACAGGTAAGAGGTGAGGTGTTTGGGGAGCCCCCTCCCTCTGGTGCAGGTTGTCTGTGCACCCCACCCCACCCCACCCCAGAGGCTGTGGGTGGTAGCAGAACCTTGCTGGTTGGAGGGGAAGATGCCGTTGCCCCGACCCATCAGCCAGACCCATTCCCAGCCCCCAAGTGCAGCACTTCTTGCATCACACTTTATGTGAGTTTTCAGACACCAAAATCAAAATTAACAAGCAGAGAGAGAGAATAGTGTAACAATTTTCTAAAATGGGATTTGAGAGAGAAAAATCTGTTACAAGGAATACATATATACTACGTGCTGCATGTATGTACAGCAAAATTAACTGCTGTTCTTGGCGATGCTTATGCTCGGAGTGCAAGAAAGGCAGCCCAGAGATGGATGGAGTTGCCCATTCATACATTATGCCTAAACCCCACCAATTCAGAAATCAAAAGCCGCTTCAGGCCCGCTGCCCCTTCTGTTACGGCTGCCAGCGGCTTCCCTTCTCATCTTTTAGCTCTCAGAGGAAAATAATTTTACCTTGATTTTGTTTAAACTCCAAGATAAGAGCTTTCCTTACTCTGCTTATCTGGATTATTGCTCCTCCCAAAACGAAGCGGCCGTCTGCCTGCCCGGTGCTGCGCCAGGGCTAGCGTCCTCAGGCTCGCCGGTTCAGCAGGAGGGAGCGCCACTCGCCCCAGGAGCACCTCTCCTCCTGCTGCTCGCCCAGCCCTGGGACCTGCCTGGCTTCCGCGGAGGATGCGTGTGGCAGCGTGTGAGGGAGCTGCACTCCTCGCTCAGCACCTGTGGCTGTTCTGCAGGTGGCGGGTGGCAGGACCAGGTTGGTGGGCTGGTGCCAGGCCTCAAGATCGGGCGTTCGAAGGCTCAGCTGCCGCTGAAGGTGGAAGTGGAACAGCTGGCCGTTCCTGAGGGCTTCATCCGCACCCTGAACGAGCACCTGCTCCTGCTGTACACCGGGAAAACCCGCCTGGCTCGCAACCTGCTTCAGGTAGAATGATAGAGCAGGTGCTTTGAAGTGGGATCATGGCCTGAGGGGCCCAGTGGGACTGCTTGGAGCAGAAGCGCACTGCAGGGATCTTGGGAACAGGGTGGATTCGCAGGGAGGGAAGGCCTGCTTTGCTTGTGGGAAAGTGGGAGCCACAAGGCCTGCCCATCTCTGAAGCCCCGCCTGCCCCTTGGCCCCGCTTTCAGCAGCCAGCAGCTCCGCTTCCTGAAGCAATGTGAAGCGGCAATGCCTGACGGCTCCGCTTGCCCCGAGCACCACTTTCTGCGGCTGCCTGCACTGTGCACGCCAGACAGGAGGCAGGTGGCCCTCCCGCCCCAGCACGGGTGCTCCTTGGAGGCTGCTGGCGCATGCCGGCAGCTGCCCCGGCGTCTGTCCAGGAGGGCCGCTGGGCAGCCAGGGGGCAGGGCCATTCCAGCATCTGTGAACACCTCCCTGTAAATGGCCGTGCCCCGCTTCCCACTCCTGGCCCTCTTGGCTCTGAGCAGCCCCTGCTCACAGAGGGGAGGTCGCCGTTTCTGCACGGCGCTTTCCCAGGGTGGGGCTGGCACTTGCTGGGACGGGCGTACATGCCGCTCTTCCGAACCGGCCCCTTCTGCACCCGGCGTGCGCTGTGTACTCTGTCCCGGCCTAGCAGGCAGCCACCTCTCACCCTGGCTCTCCTTGCAGGACGTTCTGCGGAACTGGTACGCCAGGCTGCCCAGCCTCGTGCGCAACGCCAGCGCCCTCGTGCGCAACGCAGAGGAGTGTGCCCAGGCCCTTAGGCAAGGTATGGCCACCCCACTCCCCACATCACTTGTGAGCTACCTTCGTACTGCCCCCCTTCAGGGAGGCCGCCTTGGCATGGATCTGATTCAGTGAAATCCCGCAGTGGGAGTGAAGGTAGCCACGACGAGCTGGCTGCCTCGATCCAACCCACAGCAGTGTCCCGTGGTCCGTCCTTCCTTCCGGCTCCAGGCGACCTGGCCCTCTTGGGCGAGTGCATGAACCGCTACTGGCTGCAGAAGAAGGCGATGGCGCCCGGCTGCGAGCCGCTGGCTGTCCGACGCATGATGAAGGTGCTGCGGCCTCACGTCTACGGGCAGAGCCTGGCAGGCGCCGGAGGGGGCGGCTTCCTCTACCTCTTAGCCAAGGAGCCCCGGCAGGAGGAGGTCTTGCAGAGGATCCTGGCGGAAACAGAGGTGAGGCGGAGCGTTCGCAAGTTCTTGCCCATCAGTGTCACCCTGTAGGGATCAGATGTGGACGTCGCTTACTGGGCTGGGGTGCATGAGGCATGGTGCCGATTCAGGTGCAAGCCCTGCAAGGAGTGAGGGGTGAGCAGGGAGGCAGCGGCGCCTGCTGTGCAGGGAAAGATGGAGTCCATCTACTCTTGCTGCAGCTAGAGGTTTGCTCCATCGACACCTTCCTTTCAGGGTTTGGGAAACTTCAGCATCCACACCGTGGAGATTGACACAGCGGGCTTCCAAATGCACCTTCCTGGGGAGGACTTGCAGCAAGAGGAGTGAGCAGCCCTGCAGATTTCCCGGTCCATTGCCTGCCGGGAAGGCTGGTCCGCTGGCCAAAACCGCCTCTGCTCCGTGCTGTCCTTGCTCTTCAGACACTCCCGCCCTGCCAGACTGCAAGCGCTGAGGCAGGCCTCTGGCAGCAGGCATGGCCTCCCTCAGAAGGAATGTCAGGCTGCCTGGCTTCAGCTACCGAGATGGCCAGAAGCCGATTCACATCTTTCTCCATACCTGCCGAGCCACCTAAGAACCCAGGCAGGAGCGTGTTCAAGCAGGCAGCCAGCACCTTTAGTGCCTCTGAAAGGCCCCCAGGAGGGTACTGGAGCTGTAGCCGCCTCACTGGTCTTTTCAGGGGCCTCACACTGGGGTGCCGTGGCATTTCTTCTGGAATGCAGGAGCCAGACAGCTGATACAAAGACCACAAGCATTATAACTCCTGAATGGTGCTGTTTCCTGCAGTGCCTAGAAGTCGGGTGCAACTGAACACCACTGGACGTCATTAGAAGAGCCTGAGGTGCAGGCCGCTTTTGCTGGGCTGTGACCAATATTTTGAACATTTTTGATTAAGCCAAGTCAGGTAGGAAAGAAAATCCTTTCCTGTTTGTGCCAGAAGTGATTTTTCTTGCCAAAATGGAAATTTGGGCCATGCTTCATCTTGGTGGAAATTCTGCTTTGCTGCTTGTTATCGTGCCTGGGCGCAGGGCAGGCCCCTCACCTTCAGCCAGACTGAACAAGCTGTTCTGGAAGGAGCAGCACTCCTGACTCAGGCAGAGCACTGGAACCACTAGTGGCGTTTTGGGCCTGGGCCATTTGGTGGTCCAAAGAGAGACAGCTTGGTCCCCTGCAGATCTTTTGGACTAAAACTCCACAACTCACCATGCTAGCTGGGGCTAATGGGGGTTCTAATCTAGAAGTGCTTCCAGGTGAGGCACAATTATGCATCTAATTCACAATTTTATGTGGTGCGGGGAGACATAAACATCTACACTTCTGTACCTTTTCCACCCCTTTGCCAGTTTTAAAAAATCAGATATTAAATCAGAATCACTACACACTTCCTCCTCTCAGAAAACCTGTCTGGAATCACCCCAAAACATCCGGAAGTCACCAAGCTGACGGTCCCTGAGAGAGACTGCAAGTGTAAGGTCCTGGGGTGGCTGGCTTCCCATGGCTCCTCTACTTTCCACTAAATTGCCAGGCTGGGCCATATGGGGGGCGGTGTCCCTGGGTGCTACCCAAGAGCTGCTCAGACAGAGCAACAGGTACACCTCCTCTGCTATGGAAACTACAGAATACGGACTAGGGCTCCCTAGGCACAGATCCGACCAGGGTGTCGTTTATGTCCCCGTTTGCTCAATCTGTGTGCAGAACGTATCAGAAGGAGAGCTGGATTAGGATCAGAGGAAGGAGGCAAAACAGGCAGAAGAAACACCTCTGTTTTATAAGATATGCAGATGATACCTTGACTTGAAGTGCTCCTGATAAAAGTGAAAGAAGAAAGCACAGAAGCGGGACTGCAGCGTTATATTAAGGAAACATAAATTACATCCACGGAAGACTTGTAGAACTTTACTGTTAATAAGGAAGAAATAGACATTGTCGAGCGGCAATAGTAGGCCCCCTCAGGCTCCTGTGGCATGTGTTGCTCACAGCGTGGCACTAATGGCGCACATGCGTCACAGAGGTGGCTTCATGCACGCTCCAGGTGAAAGAACGTGCTGTTTCCGGAGGCTTCACTGTCGGAGAATCTGGTAACAAGGATCTGCCTTTCCCTCAAGTCTGGAGGAGTTTGCGGGGCCTTGGAGAACACGGCTGAGCTCCCGCTTCTGCCCCGCAGCCACCCTGAGCAGGAACAGGCTGCTGGTGAGGAAGGGGATGGCTCTGCCTGGCTACAGCCGTAACCGCTTGATGTCTTCATTGCGAAAGTCCATCCGGAGAGCCAGCACTTGGCGAACCTCAGCGGGTGTGAGGCGCCACGTCAGCGGGCCAGAGTTGGGCCCCCAGTAATCCAAGATCTCCGTTACCTAAAAGGGAAAGTAATTAAACTGACAGGCGAGCAGAATGACACCCCACTGAGAGGCACCATCAGGGAAGAGTGCCTGAATCGGCAAGACCAGCACGTTCTCGTGCCCGTGCCAAGCTCCACGAAAGCTGGGGGGCGGCACCCAGAGGCACTCTCCAGCCGCACACTGTACCAGCCCCTTTCCCAGTGCCCAGAGAGCAAGCGCCAGGCTCACCCTTTCAAGGTTGAGGATGGTTGCCATCTGGGAAAGCCGAGCAAACTTGTCGCGGATGGTCCAGGTGGTGACTGTGGTGAGGTAGGCGATCAGGGAGCGCAGCTCTTTGTCAAACTGCAGCCCACCAAGCTGAGAACACAAGGAAAGTGGGAGATGGCTGAGGGCGTGGGATACATCAGCAACGGCTCTGCTAAGCAAGACGGTCAAGCAGCTGCCAAACAGCCCCAGTTGAGCACATCTTCTTTATATCGGCATATATTCTGCTCACTAGAGCCGGGCTCTCAAACAATCTGGAAGGGGTTGGTGTACACATGGAAGGAAAGCCCACAAAGGACAGCCTCCACTTGAGGGGAATGAGACAAAGCACAGGCCGCTGCGTGGCATCCCCTTTCTCCTCTTCAATGACTAGAAACTTGAGATCTTCAGAACGCTAAGTTACATAAAGTGCTACATCAAATAATTTGTGAACACCGACAGTGTGTATTAGTTGAGCTTAAATGTTTTCGGAGAAGGAGGACAAGAGAAAATCCTGGCCGCCAGAAGGGACAGCAAATGGTGCAGGCAGAGAAATCGGGCCATTCAAAGCTCTGGCTGACTCGACCAGCCTTTAAGACTTCTGCAAGCGTGAGCAGGAAGGGATGGAAAGCGCGTGGGAGCAGTCTGGGTCCGGCGGGCAGGCAGAACCAGCCGGGGGTGTCCTGCCTGGAGAGAGGGCGGCCCACCTCACCAGCCCTCTTGGCCTGGATGGTGCAGGCCTCTGCCCCATGGGAACCGGCCTGGGGCAGACTCCAGGCACCCTGCGTCAACCAAAGACTGGCTCAGAGGGCCTCCCGCCTCCCTAGTCCTGCACCAGAGCACACGTGACACGTGCAGCCTGAGGAAGGAGGCAGGGCATCTCCCTGCCTCCCCTCGCCTCAGACCTGCTGCCAGGGCAAGCCCAAGGTACTGTGAAAGGGCTGCCGCACAGGCAGGCAGTTAGTAGGCAGGCCGAGGGGGATCCTGCCGGCTGGGCCCTGGCGCCCACCTCCTCTGGACTCTGCTCCTGGCGGCAGGGCAGAGCCGCCTCTTACCCGGCTGAAGTTGGACTTGAGGACCACCTTCTCCAGCTCAACAGCAATAAGGCTGGTCATCAGGTTGGTGAGGCTGTCGTAGATCACTGGCGACAGTCCTCCCTGCAGGCAGAAATAAGGCCGGCCTCAGGAGGAAGCGCAGCTGCCAGGCGGGGGCGGGGGGGGGGGGCAGAATAGTCTGTCTCAGCCAGGCCGTGGCAAATGCCTGGGTGGAGAGGCCAGCGGGAGGGCCCTCGGGCTGCGCCACCTGGCCAGCCAGGACCCCCAAGCCAGGAGCAGAGTCAGCACACTAGGGCAGCAGCGGATGCCTCCAGCCCCTGGCACAGAAAGAGCCGCCAGTCCTGTGCTCAGCACCCTCCCTCCAGCAGGGACGGCACCTCTGGCGGCAGCTGCTACCCACCAGCGAGACTCCCTGGCAGGCCCCCTTCCACACAAGAGTGGATGGAAGCGGATCCCGCTCCAGTTGGCCTCTGGGACTGGCAACAGCCCCCAGGGAGGCCCCTGCATGCCACTCGCACTCCTTCCCCGGCAGCCGGGAGTCTTTCCTCCTGCCAGAGTGGCTGGGGGAGGCGGGTGAGGGCCTTGGGGGAGGAGCAACTCCAGTGGATTCCGGGGAGCCCGAGCACACCTTGAACTCCACCATTTGCTGCTCCAGGTTGAGAATGAACTGCTGGACCCAGGGGTCGTTGGCTTCGTAGTTGTTGAATTCTTCCTAAAACAGGCGCAAGATGCAGATTTACTCCCAGGTTGTCCCTGCTGGCAAGGCCCTGGAACATCGAGACATGGCCAAGAGGCCCGCCCCAGTCTCCTGTGTCCATCTCCAGCCCTCTTAAGGGAGCTGCTCCAGCAGCCTGAAGGGGAGGCTCAGGACAGCCCGGATACGCAGCAACTGTGCCGCAGCAGCAGTTGCCAGCTGGAACCGGAGCGACTGGACCTCCAGGGGGGGAAGACTTGGTGCTCCCAGAAAGCGATTCGAGCATTTATTTCATGGGTTTCAAGCATTTTTATCTCCTCTCCATGTTTCTGAAGGGTGTAGAGCGCACAATGCTAAAAATCTGTGGATTTGCAACAATGGTTGGTGGCTGATGTCAGTCATCAAGTGACCATCAAGCAGTGCGGTCTGTTAGGCCATGAATTAATGATAAAGCAGAATTCAGCTGGATAGAAAGCAACAGATAACGCGAACTGAGCTGACACGGGGAGAAGCAGCCCTTAATTTGAGCCTCTTGGGCCAGGCCTCCCAGGCTCAGATCGCCCGCTCGCTCCTGCAGGGCATGCCTTTGTGCAAGCAGCAGGACTCACCTCCTCGATGTTATGGGAGACGGACAGGAAGAGGTTGATCCAGGGCTTCACCTGTGGCTTGATTGCTGTATTTGTGAGCTCATTCAGGCCCTCCTGCGGGGTGGGGAGAAGAGAGCAGGGCCCTGCGGAGCTGCTCGGCAGCCTCTGCTGCCCCCAGAGCAGCAATGCAGCCCCTGTCCTGGCACCAGAGCAAAGCGCCTGCGGGCCAAGTCCAGCAGCACACGCCTTGGTGGAGAAATTGCTGTGAGGCACGTGCCGCAGCAGCAGATTGCCTCTGGGAGCGGGAGCACCAGTGCTCCGGTGCTCAGGAGCCACACGCCTCGGAGCCCCAGCAGTCCCAGGACATGGATTCCGAATGGAAATGCTCCTGGGGCGATGGCCTACCTGCAGCAGATCGCGAAATTTGTTGGACACGGCAGCCATGTCAGAGAGGCAGCTGTCGAGCTTGGCCTGGGCTTGCTCGCCCCCAAACCCCTGGCTGAGCAGCTTTGCGCAGTCGCTCTGTGTGGAAGCACAAGGCGGGCCACAGAGGATCGTGTGATGCGCGGGGGAGTCCCGTCCATTGCCCCGGGCCCGAGGCGCACCTTTCACGAGAGAGGCTTCTGAAGCGAAGCTCTCTAGAGCAAGCAGTGAGATGATGGCAGCAACCCGTGGCAGGACAGGAGCCCAGGCCCATCCTCTGCTTGGGAAACCTCAGAAAAGAGGCAGCTCCTCGCGTCTTCCTGGTGACAGTCTGTGCCTACGAGTTGCCCCAGTCCAGGTAGGGACCCCAAAGGACAAACTTGCAGGCAGTTAGCTAGACCCCAGTGTGCCCTTGCCTCCCTGTGGAGCCCATCCCTCAGGCTCTGGCGTCCTGGACAGGCCAGAGACGCCTTCCTCAGCCCAGCACTGCATGGCCTCTGCTGCATGAAGTGGGGAGAAAGTGGGCACGTGCTCGGAAGGAATATTGGACCTCACCAACTGCGCACGGCTCTTTCCAAGGGTGGCACGTGGCCTGAGAAGCAAAGGCCCCAAGCGATTTCTCACAGGCATGGGGCAATTTTACTCTAGCACCTTACTTGCATAAGAATTTGTTGCCTGCTAGCTAGACAGGCAACAAGATAAACTAGGACTCCCAGTCCAGACCACGGGAGTCCATTCCTGATTTTAGCAAGAAAATGAATCTGAGTCAAGCAGACAGGCCACCTATACAGCGACAAAGAGCACAAACGCAGAATAAAAAAGTAGCAGGCAGCCACGGACGAGGCAGCCCAAAGGGGTTTATTTTTAAACTTCCGTGGAAGTCTGGTGCACAGTACCTCCAGGGTCTTCTTCAGAGTCATGATGTTTTCACTGCACACCTCCACATTATTTAACGTCACCTGCAGAATGGCCAGACAAGAGAAAGGATGAGCACGTGTGGAAGGAATACTCGAAACGGGAGCTGCAGCGCAGGCAGCAGCGGGACAGGGAGGAGAAAAGCGGGCAGGGACAGAGGCAGAGACCTGGCAGCAGAAGCTACATGGCCCAGGCCGGCCGCCAGTGTTTCTGCGACGGAAACCATTCCCTGGCAGGAGTGCTGGTGAAAAGCTTCCATGAAGGGATTTAGTGGGGGGACTGGAGTGCCCCCCATGGGAAGGTGGGTGGCCAGGGGGGCCGGGCTGGCAAAGCTCCTAGTGCCTGGAGCAGGGAGAACTTGACCAACAGCCGCCGATCAGTTCCTCTCTTGCCCCAAGGCTGCTGCTTCAAAATCCACTGCTGGCAGTGCAGAAGTAGGAAGGCTTCGACTGGGCCAGACGGCCAGGAGAGGAACCCGGGGGCACCAGGACGCCGGTGTGCGGCGGCCTAGCCTGAACCCTCCTGCAGACTGGGGACGTGCAGCACCCCCCAGGAGGTCCCTGCATGGAAGGGCAGCCTCTGCCTGGCTTGGCTCCTTCACCCTATCTGGCTCGGGCAGGTAGGAAGCCGTCCCCCGAAGGGCCCTGCCGCCCGGCCTCTGGCTGGCTGAGCCCCCTCCCCCATGGCAGGGGCAGGCTCACCAGAAAGGACTGCTTGGCCTCGTCGGTGCTCTCGATGCCCTTGGTGTCAAACTTGCCCTGCTGGAGGCTGCTGTGCACGATGCTCACCGCACTGGTCACGCCCCGCTGGATGTCCTGGAAGGTGGTGGCTGGGAAGCCCAGCTTGAGCTTGCTGCACAGCACCTCCCTGTGGGGCACGCGGAGCGGGGGGCCTGCGTGAACGCCCAGCAGTCTGGCTCCCCCAGCCCACGGCAGTCCTGGGGGGTGCTCTCAGGCGGGGGGGGAGCCCCCGAGCCCTCCCTGCCCAGCCCCTGCCCTTCTCCCGCTGCCGGCAGCCCTTGGCATGCGTCAGGGCGGGGAAGCGGTGCCCTCCCTGCCGCGTGGACGGTGATGGGCAGGGCAGAAACCGTTCCGAGATGCAGGTGGGAGCTGCAGCTCCCGGACAGGAGGAAAGCGAATGGGTGAAATGTGGCGCATTCTGCACTAGCGCATGGGATCAGTCCTGAGGTGCCCGACCACACGTGCTCGGAGAGCACCTGTCCCTCGCTTGGCAGTGCGGGACCCCCTGCAACGGCCCGACCTGTGCAGAGACAGCCGGGAAGGCACTGGAATGCTCCAGTGCAAGGGGACAGAGGCCACTCTGCCTTCGGGCATTCACGCTCCAGAGTGGCGCATGAAGGGACCAGCATCCAGGCAGACTGTCCCTCCAGGAGGAAAGGGACAGAGGAGGCTGCCTGCCCCCCCACCCTCAGGGTGGGCCACTCCTAGCCCTTTCCTCCCTGTGAATCTTCGGTTCGGGAAGAAAGCTGGGCATGGAGCAGGGGCCGGAAGGCAGGTCACCCCGCTGCAGCCCCCCACGCACCCGAAGTCCGACTCCAGCTCGGTGATGGAGTGGTTGATCATGGCACAGAGGCAGTCGATGCTGGAGCTGGAGAGGGCCCTCCCGATGCACTTCTTCACAATGTAGAAGACGTCGTCCACCATGCTGGAGGTCAGCTGGCCCTTCTCACACGTGTCCATAGCGACAGCCTGGCAGGAAGCGACACGCTGCAGTGCCTGGCCCAGCGGTGCCCGCAGGGCTGCTCACCTCTGGCCTGTCTTGGCTGCAGGGGCCACCTACAGGCTGCCTGCCCGCCCCGTGCCCCAGCCCGCCGCTGGCCCTGAGCGCTCCTCAGGGGGGCAAGCAGAGGGAGCATCTTCCCCAGGAGCGGACAGCAGGGGGTTCCAGGGCCGTGCCTCCGGCGCCTGCACCGTGGGGCACTGCATGGGAAACCCTGGACGCCGACGGCCAGAGCCCCCTCAAGCAGCATGGCAGCAGCCCCCACCTTGTTGACCGTCTCCCTCATGAAGTACTCCTCCATGGTGATGTAGTAGCCAATCAGCTCCTGCATGGCGCAGCTCAGGAAGCAGCTGTGCAGCAGCCTGTCCAGGCTCTTCTGGTGCTCTGCGGGCGCAGCGAAGGCAGAGCCTGGCGTGAAGAGCAGCCCTGTGTGTGGGCCGCTGCCCCTGGCCAGCTGATCTGGGGCGCCCGGGCTGGGAGGAACCGGATGCCAGCAGGGCCAGGGTGCTGGATGAGGGAACGCTGCTTTGGTCCTTACCTTCCTTCACTTCCTCAGTGGCCACAGAATCCCCCACCTCAAAATCAGAGAGGATGCGCCTCCGAATGAATCTCAGGTACAGCTCACTCCGGGCATTCATCAAGGTGACCTCGGTCAAGACAGGGTCAAGTTCCCTGTGACAAGCAACAGGCTCAGCTGTTGTCAGCGCTGTCACCATCACCCCCTCCCTGCCTGAAATGAACTCCAAATGGCTTGTGGCAATCCTGATCGCACATGCAGCTGATGCTTCTCGCTCTCAAGTGTGCAAGGCCAAATTTTAAATGCTCTGCAGTGAATTTTTCTGCTGCTCCTAAGTTTGGCTGCTGACATTTCCCTTCTCGACATTGGCTGGAGTTCGGCTAATCAGTGCTGGAAAAGACCGATTCCTGGAAGAGGAGTGCAGGCTCGGGGGATGGCCTTGCGACCGCCAGAGAGAAGCAGGTTGCGAGCCTTTCCTTTGCCAGGGCATTTACAAGAAGGCGCAGCTTCCTCCAGCGCAGTCTGCAAGCACTGCGGGCTGCATCCTCCTCCACTCAGCAGTGGGTGGCGGCAGCACCTGCTTGGGGAAGGTGTCTCTTGCTATAGCCTGGCCAATGCAGTGTGCTGCTGACCCACCACCAAGACTGTCTGCAAGTGCGCCACAGGGGTGTGACTGGGGATCCCCCGCTCAGGTGCCCATTGGCCACCAACTCACACGAAGGAAGCTACGCTCACGCCTCTCCCATCTGCTGATGCACATGTGGATCATGGTCCTGAGGAGGGCTGTGAGGATTTCCGTCGGCATACCTCGGCTCGATCTTTTCTGCAAGCGAGCTTCTCATCATGCTGTTCTGCACGTGCTGAAACTGCAAGCGTAAGAGGAGGAGCGGCCGTGAACCCCTCTTCCACGCCCCCTGCTGTATCCCAGGTGCCCAGCCGCCCTCTAGCGGAACAAGAGCGCGGCAGCCGCTCGAGGGGGGAGGGCTGCACACACGCTGCTGCCCCCTCCTGCCAGGGAGGCGCCTCTCCTCGCTGCCCTGCTGAGCAGCCCGGGAACGGTGTCCAGCGCTCCTCGGCCGGGCAGCAGCAGGGGGCACTGGTCCGCCAAATGGGTTCGGTGGTGCAGCTGCGCCCGCAAGGACCCGCCTCTCACCTGCCTGTGGTAGTCCCTCTTCTCAATGAACTTGTCCACGATCTTCTCCACCTGCCGGTCGCATTCTGCCTGCAGGTGCTTGATCAGCGTGTAGAGCCTGCCCGGCCCGTAGTAGGTCTCCACGATGGGCTGATGGGTCTCCACCACACGGGCAGTTCCTGCAAGGCCGCGGTGGCCCAGGAGGAGCCCTGCTTGAAGCGTGCCCGGTCCATCCCGACCACGAGGACGGCAGGCAGCACCGGGGATGAGACTCGGAACACCTAGCCCGGCCCCAGCCGCTCGGCGGCATTGCTGCCCTTCCCAGGCTTCAGCCACGCTCCCGCATTGCGGCCAGGTGCAGCCCAACTCCCGCCATTCCTTGACACGGAACCGGAAATGCACGCAGGGAGAGGCTTACCCTGATCAAGCTGAGCCACTCCCCTGTGCCGGTGGCTGACAACATCCAGCTTTCCAACCAGTGCCCCCTGCTTTTGTTTCTGTTTATTTCTATAACCCATTCACAGGCTGTTGCGTATGCACTTGCGCCGTGTGTGCTGACCCCGGGGACAGAACTGCCGGCAAATGGCGAAGGCCAGAGCCCCCTACGGCAAATGCCCGGCTGCTGTGGCAAGCAACACCTGCCCTCACTTCAATTTTGGGAGGAAGGCACAGGATTACCTTCAAAGAGGAGAGTCAGCGTGTCTGCAAAGATGACGGCAGCTCTGCGGTCGCTCATGTCGGTCTTCATCACTAACTGCAGGTTCTCTTCTGCTTTATTAGCAACCTGGAAGGAATGACAGCCTTGCTACCAATCCATTCTAGCTGGCCCTTTTCATCCTTGGACCACTTTTTGATGCACGTACTTACTGACACTTACATAAAAGAAGGAACTGAGAACTAGTAGTTATGGGGAAATTACCAGCAAACCAACTGTCTGCTGCAAGACGAGCTTCACGGAACATGGATCCTCCAACCAGAGGTGCCATGCTGACTTCTTCTTTCAGGAAATGGGAGGACACATCAAGACGATCAACTGCTTTGATTTTATCCTCACCAATAGGGAACAGCTGGCCACAAGATTAAAGTAACAGGAACATAGCAGGGGGAACCGGTAGTGTGGTGCAGGGGCAGCTGAGAGCTGCGTTCTGCTTCCCACTCAGCCATAAAGCTCCCAGGGTGTCCTTGGGCCAGCCATGGACCCTCAGCCTGACCTGTCTTACAGAGAAGGCAAAAAAGCCTCTGTGCCCACGCCAAAGCCCGGTGAGCAGCTGAACCAAAAGGACATGCGCGAGAGACGGAGGGTCCCACAGGCCACCACGGCTGGGCACAGACAGGGGCCGTTCCAGGAAGGCTCCAGTTTAGAACAGCTGCGTGTGGTGCAGGATGCTGAGAGCAGCAACTGAGAAGGCTTGCTCAAGGGTCTCCAAAGCAAGAGGAAGCAAGGACCCGCCAGCCCCACTGACCTGTTTACAGAGGTACTTGGAGAAGTTACTCAGCCCTTCCTCGTGCAAGCCCAGCAGTGGGAAGATCTTGAAAAAGCGTTCCACTTGTGGCAGGTCTTCCTGCTTGGTGGCCGTGTCAAATTTCTCGGCCACAACAGCCTTCAGGCGCTGTTCTGCCTCCTGCAAGAGCTTCAGGTTGGCCTCAATGATGCTGCCTGCCCAGGAAGGGGAGATGTTCTCAGTACCACTTCAACAGCCACAATGCGACAAACGCATTTTGCAGCTCGAGGACATCTCCCGAGGTCACTCCCTGGGAACCAAGCGAAGGCTCAGCTTTGCACCTCGCTTTTATCTTCTCACCACGTGGTGATGGAAGGTCTTGTGGCGGCTTCTGTGCCCTGCACCAAAGAGGGTGTAAGTGCCCCCCCACCCCCAAGAGCTACACGGGGCAGTGCAGAGACCTGCTCTCCAAACAATCTCTGCCAAATCACACTGTCTACTTCACATGGCTTTTGCCCAGAAAGTTTTTCAAAGGAGCTGAGATCAGCAAGTCCACACAGTCACGTACCCTCTCGGCCCTGCCTGCTCAGCTCAATGACCGATTTGTCCAAAGAAAGGTAGCGATGTATGTGAGCAGCGGCTTGTTCAAAATCTTCATTCCTGAGGGCTGTCTGGACGCCATCCATGCAGAACTTCAAGTCCAAAATGTCATCTGCTCTCTGGATGGCCTGATAGAGGCGGTTCTGCAAGAAATGCGGCAGTCATTTCTCCTTCAAAATAGGCCTTGCTGGGGGCGGAAGAGGCAGGTGCAGGCCAGGAGCCCAGCGGACTGGAAACATGCTCTGACTCACTATGGCCGTGGGGCTGGTATCGAGCAGCCTTGCCTCACTGGGCCCCCAGGTGTGCTACAACTCCCACAGAAGCTGCGCATGTGATGAGAAGGGCCTCCAGTGGTGTCAGTTCTCCTGGAGGAAGGAACCCACCAGAGCCAGCAGGCCTGGCCATGCTACCACGGGGCTCTGCTTTATCAAGGCTGGACTCCAGTAACAGGTGCTCCATTGTGCAGAAACTCTGGCAGGTCCATGCTGCAATGGCTAGACTTTTAAGCGGGGCTCGTATCTGAAGCTTGTGACTGCATCAGCTTCGTTGGCTTCCGTTTAGTTTCCAAGCCCAACTCGTGGTGCGCTTTCTTACTTTCAAAGCTCCTCATGACTCAAGTGCATTTCTTACAACCAAAATCTCAGGGTGGCTGGATCACAGGATCTGGTTATTTGGGGAGGTCTTGTTCTGTCTCTCACTACCAGCAGAGGTGTGGTGTGGGGGAGGATGTGGGAGTAAATTTTTATTGGGGCTGTACCATTCTGGCCTTGGAAGTCGGGTGCATTTTCTGATGCCAAGTGAACACTGGGGGCTAGGGGCTTGGCCCGCACACGACTCCGCTAGCTCTTGAATTGTCTTCTGGCTTTGTGCTTCTGATTCGTTTTTGAAATTCTTCTGCAAACTGCAGTGATTTATTTATTTATTTATTAAAACATTTTTATGCCGCCCCATTCGCCGAAGCCTCGGGGCGGCTTACAACAATAAGTTAAAAAACAATTATAACATTAAATTAAAAAATATAAACATTAAGTTAAAAATACAAATACCAATATAAAATAAGCCGTCCTGGCCAGATAAAATCCAATAATATTAACAATTAAAATGCCACTTAAATAAAAAGGTCTTCGCCTGGCGCCGAAAAACAAATAACGACGGCGCCAGGCGGACCTCTCTGGGGAGCGCATTCCATAGATTGGGCGCCACCACAGAGAAAGCCCTCCTCCGAGTGCCCACCCTCCTAATTTCTTTCACAGAGTGTTCCCGGAGAAGGGCCTCTCCCGCCGATCTCAAGGGGCGGCTGGGCATATATGGATGTAAGCGCTCCTTCAGGTAACCAGGACCCAAGCCGTTTAGGGCTTTATAGGTCATCACCAACACCTTGAATTGGGCCCGGACTTCAACGGGAAGCCAGTGCAGCTGACGGAGAACTGAAGTCATGTGAACATAACGCCCAGTCCCCGTCAGCAACCTGGCAGCTCTATTTTGAAACAATTGAAGTATCCGGACCGTCTTCAAGGGTAACCCCACGTAGAGCGCGTTACAGAAGTCAAGGTGGGAAGTCACCAGTGCATGTGTCACTGTTGCGAGGCAGTCGTACTCCAGGTAGGGGCGCAGCTGATGAATCAGCCGAAGCTGAAGGAAAGCGCTCCTCGCCGCTGCTGTCACCTGAGCTTCCAGCGAAAGCTCCGGGTCAAGGAGCACTCCCAGGCTGCAAACCTTGTCCCTAAGAGGGAGTGCTACCCCATTCAGGACTAGGTTCAATTCACCCTCTCCGAAGCCCGATCCGCCAACCAACAGGACCTCCGTCTTGTCTGGATTGAGCTTCAGTTTATTGGCCCTCATCCAGCCCATTACCTCGGCCAGGCACCGGTTCAGTACAGCCACTGCCTCACCTGGATTGGTGGAAAACGAGAGGTAGAGCTGGGTATCATCAGCGTACTGATGATTCCACAGCCCACACCTCCTGATGACCTCTCCCAGCGGTTTCATGTAGATGTTGAACAGCAAAGGGGACAAAATGGACCCCTGCGGTACTCCATGGCATAGCTGCCATGGCGCAGAGCCACAGTCCCCCAGCACCACCTTCTGGAACCGGCCATTGAGATAAGAGCGGAACCACTGCAAAGCAGTGCCTCCAACCCCCAATCCCGCAAGCCTATCCAGAAGAACACCATGGTCGATGGTATCGAAAGCCGCTGAGAGGTCCAGGAGAACCAACAGGGACACACTCCCCCTGTCCTTCTCCCTGCACAGGTCATCGTACAGGGCGACCAAGGCAGATTCAGTACCGTACCCGGGTCTGAAGCCGGACTGAAATGGGTCCAGATAATCAGTCTCATCCAAGAGTGCTTGGAGTTGTCCCGCCACCACCCGCTCTAACACCTTGCCCAGAAACGGGATGTTGGCCACTGGCCTATAATTAGTGGCCATCTCTGGATCCAGTGATGCCTTCTTCAGGACCGGTCGGACTACTGCCTCCTTTAAAGGGGCAGGCACCCGACCCTCCCTCAGAGAAGCGTTAACCACTTCCAAGATCCAGATCCCAATCCCGTGCTTGGAATTCTTTATTAACCAAGACGGGCAAGGGTCCAATAGGCAAGTGGTGGGACGTACTCGTCCAAGCACCTTGTCCACGTCATCGGGCCGCAGTAACTGAAATTCATCCAATAATTCTGGACCAGACGGCAGCGTTGGTGTCTCCCCAAAAACCTCTGAATCAATAGTGGAATCCAGCTCGTGATGAATCTGAGCGATTTTCTCCCTGAAATGCCTGGCAAAGTCGTCACAGCGGGCCTTTGAGGGTGGAACCAGGTCTTCCTTCGGACCTGGATGAACCAGGCCTTGCACCACTCGAAAAAGCTCCGCCAGACGGCATTGTGAGGAGGCAATGGAAGCGGAAAAAAATCTCTTTTTCGCCGCCCTCACCGCCACAGGATAGGCCCGATAGTGGGCTCTCAAGTGTGTTCGGTCAGATTCATCCCGCAATTTCCTCCACCTATGCTCTAGCCGTCTCCCAACCTGCTTCATCGCCCTCACTTCAGGAGTATACCAAGGGGAAGAGTGGGCTCTGCCCGGTGGGAGAGGATGCTTAGGAGCAATTGTGTCCACAGCCCTGGTCATCTCCCCGTTCCACAGTTTGACCAGAGCCTCGACAGGAGCGCCCGTCTTGTCAGCCGGAAACTCCCCCAGGGCCTTCAGGAATCCTTCCGGATCCATCCGGCTCCAGGGGCGGACCCACACAATCGGGTCCGCACCCTTACAGAGGGAGAGGTCACTCTCGAGCACAAACCTCACCAGGAAGTGATCTGACCATGACAGGGGAGTTAAACGTAAATTCCTCACCCTCAGATCCCCCTCTTCCTGCCCCGTCGAGAAAACCAGGTCCAGAGTGTGTCCACGTTCATGGGTCAGGCCGGTGACATGTTGAGACAGTGCCATGGAGGCCATGAAGTCCTGAGCCGCCCCGGTCAGATCAGTCTTGGCATGGAGATTGAAGTCCCCCAGGACCAACATCCTGGGGGTCCTCAACACCAAGTCTGAGGCGATCTCCGTCAGCTCAGGCAGGGAGACTGTTGGGCAGAAGGGTGCACGGTACACCAACAGAATCCCCAATCTGTCTTGGTCGCCCAACACCAAGTAGAGGCACTCCAGCCCTGGTCTCGAAGGGACAGGAAGTCCAGTGAGAGAGATGGAAGCTTGGTAAACCAAAGCGACCCCCCCTCCCCTCCCCTCTGGGCGTGAGCAGTGCTGAACCAGATACCCGGGCGGGCACAATTGGGAGAGGGCCACATCCCCCCCTTCTCCCGCCCAGGTCTCTGTGATGCAAGCCAGGTCGGCCCCCTCATCCACAATCAAATCATGGATGAGGGAAGATTTGTTATTGACCGACCTGGCATTGAGCAACAGCACTGTCAGGCCCGAGGGGCGGCTGACAAGACTCCCTGGCACCCTCTGGCTGGGGGCAAAACCAGAAGTAGGGACAGGTGTCAACCATCTGTCCCTCCTTCTTCTATGCAGACACGTTAAGCTCCCACCGCTGTTAAGTCCATTGCCCAGAACCACCCCAATGGCGGCACCCATGCGCTCCCCAGGAAGCACAAGTGGTGGCATGGCCAGGGACGACTCCATAAAAACAGCTTAAAATACAATAAAATTATAAAACAGTTTAAAAACTCCCCCTTCCCTCGGCTAAACGCCCAATTCAGCGGCCGCAGCAGCCACACTATCACTGTAAACGCAGCCCAGCTGGAGGGCCAAGTATAGCAAAGAATCAAAGCCACCTGGCCAGCCCAGCCCCCCCGCTCGGCCCCCCAACAGCCCCCAAACGGCGGCGACCGCCCTTTGGCCGCCGGCCCGAGGCTGCCGGCCCCAGCCACCACCGGCGCTTTCAGGCCGCAGGGCCCTCCCAACGCTTCGCCCCGTCCGGTGCACGGCTCTCACCCGGGCCGGGCCGGGCCGGGCCCTGGTGCCTGCCCAGTGGAGTTGTGATGCTGTCGTCTCTCATTTTGTCTGACACTCACTGTCTTGCGTGACTTAGTATTAGAAGGAAAGGTGGAGTGCAAATATATTTAAGCAGAATAACTGCTGTATCTGAATCTAGTGAAATCAAGACTGGAGATGCACAACTCATCACTCTGAAAAAGCCATTTTTTCTCTTTAAAAGATGAGATAAAGCAGGAGAAGGAAAACAATAGAAGTCTTGAGAATCTCTTGGATGCCCCCCCTGTCAACTGGAAGGTGGGATACTGGGGGATCTGTGATTCGTGGAATACCCGACAAAAACACAAAAGTCCTATTGGGCACAACAGCTATCACTAAGCCTTATCACTGACGCCTAGATTTACACTGGTAAAACTAGCAGGCTCATAGTCAATGGAAAAAAATGGATTATCCTCCACCTTTAAAGTTGCTAAGCTTTAAAATGGAAATTTTAGAGCTTGTCTTTGTCAAGAGCAAGCAGTACCACTTCTTCCCAGAGTGGACTACAGCTCAGCACCATGGCCAGAGCAATCATTTAACTGACTCACCTTTGCAAGATCAAGCTGTCGAACTTTGCTGCTCACATTCTCTGCCAAGTTGCAGGTGAACGTGATCATCCCAGCTAACTGCTTGGCATCTCCTTCGATCAGCTGCAGGTTAGGACTAAGAACACAAGGACAAAGCATGAGCATCAAGTGCAAGCACTGCCCATTTGGCTTCCTTTCCACTTGGTCAATTCCAAGCTGTGTTGGAGCGGAGGATATTATTGCTGAATGCAAGATGTTACTAACCCCATGCGATGAAGGGCGGCCATCTTATTCTCAATGGTTCCCTGCTCTTCCAGAAGGATCTCCAGTTCTTCTGCCACTGCTTTCTGAAAGCAGAAACAAGCAAAATGCTGCACAAGCTCAATCGATTCTCCCTGAGCCTTGTCCCTTTGAAGCCCACCCGGAACTGCACCTCCAGATCCCACCTGGGATGTCTGCATGCAAAATACAGTTTCTACCAGGACCACACCTCCAGCTCATTTCCACTGAGGCTGGACATGCTTCCTTCCACCCAGTGGTGTTTTTGTTACTAGAAAAAGTGAGACGGGCACTACCATCCCACTGCACTTGTGAGCTCCAGAGGCGTGGGCTTTGGAATGAGCCAGCCAGGGCCACGGATGCTCTTGCATCTCAGCACCTCCGCTCACAGGCTCAAAAGTCACTGCTCCTCTGCTTTCCAAGGGTTACATGTACACACCATGTTGCTTTTTCTGCTCCAGCAAGTGACCCAATGCCAGGTTACCAACTTATTCCAGATTTTGTCCAGTGTTATGGCTTGCATCTGCAGAGGTATGTTCGCATGAGCTGTGCAATGCATGGAGAGGCCACATGTGGCTGACTTGTGACTCCACAGTTAGGAAACCTGATGCTCATGTGAGCCATTCTTGGTACAGTTAAAGGAAATGCAGAAACATTGGCACCAGTTTTATCAGAATGACTTTAAAATTGTTTTGGGAGGTAACAGGTGTAAAAGCAAGCTCAATGTGTGCCTTCTGAGAAATACAGATTGTCATGTATTTCCGTGAAATGCTGTCCCTGAAGCAACGGGAGGCAGGACAGCCTCAGCCCCTCAACGAAGCTGGGAATCACCCCGTTGCACGGCTGGGGAGGCAACGGATCCGGATCCGGTTCCGCCAAGTGGCGGGCGGCGGCCAACAGCCGCCCCGCTTGTCCTGCCATGCGGGCAGCCCCCGCGCAGGGGTCGGCAGGAGCCTGTCCTCCCCTCGGCCAGGCCGCGCACACTGCAGCCACGCTGGCGGGAGCTCAAGGGGGCCGGAGTCCGGCCGGGGGAGGGAGCGGCTCGGCTTCGGTCGTGCGCCGCGGCGGCCGCCCACCTCTTCCCCGCACAGGCGGCTATAGGCAGCCTCGAGGTCCGCGAGGTCCGTCAGCGCGCGAATCTGCTCCATGGACGGCGACGCGGCGCCGCCGCCCGACGACCCCTTCACCGCCGAGGGCGCCCCCGCCATCTTGGCCGCGCCGAGCGCGAGCGCGGGCGGAGCTTCCGGGACGCGGGCTCCGCTTCCACGCCGCCACCAGCCGTAGCCTGGCAACGCCCCGCGGCCCCCCGCGGAGGGCGTGACGTCAGCGCTCGCGAACCGTCTGCGGCGCCGGAGCCGAGCGGCGGGTAGGGGGCCTTCCGCGCGCTCCTCGGGCCGCTTCGCGCTGCCGAGCGGGAAGGGCGCCCGTGGACGCGGAGCCAACGCCGCGGGTGAGTCCGCTGCGCGTCGCCGTTCGGGGCCCCGTGACGCCCGGGGGCTTAGGTGTCCTCGGCGGTGCCTGCGCGGGAGGGCGCAAAGCCGGCTGCGTGCCGTGTGCCGCGCGGTGCGGGCGCCGAGTAGCCGCCAGGGTCGCTCCGCGCCGAGCGAAGTCCGGGCGGGATGCGAGCCCTGGGTCCAGGGCCGTTCAGGCGCGCCGTGGCCAGCCCAGCGCTGCGCCACACGCCTGGAAGGACCTCGGAAGGCGGGAAGCCGCTGGAAATGGCTGCGGGGGAGCGCGCGTGTAGCAGGCCCTGACGCCGCGCCGGATCCGTCGCCATCCGCGTCGCAGGACCGGTAAATGCCCCCGGACGCGCGTCCCCTCGGCTGCCCGTCCCGCTGCATCCGCCCCACTGCCTGGAGCGGCGGGCGGGCCCGCCTTGCAGAGTGGGCGCCGCGGCAGCGCTCCGCGGGGGTGGGCCGGGCCCGCGCGGCGCGGGGGCAGTGGGCGGGAGGCGGTGGCTGCAGCCCGGGCTCGCGCCCGCAGGCACCCCTCTCCCGCCGCCCCTGCCAGCCGGGGCCGTGCACCGGGAGGGCGGCTCAGAGAGCGCTTCCGAAACCGGAGTCGGCTTCCAGGGCCAGGCCCCGCGGGCTTGCTCGGAGGGGGGCCCTGCTGGTTCCCGCGAGGAAGCGCCGCGTTCCGCCCCAGCAGGGGCGCACGGTGTGCGGGTCGTCTTCGGGTGCTGGAGAACGGGGGCGCCTGGTGCGGCCGACGCTTTTCGGCCCGTCTGATGGGGATTCGCGGTGCGGCCGCCCGAGGAAGCCCCCGGTGTGCGGAGCAAGGGGGCGAGGCTTGTAGTATCTTTAAAAACTAGTAACGCTTTGATATAATTTGTAGACGCTCTAAATGGGTAGGCCGGAATGGACGTGCTTGTCTTCAGGGTGCCGAAAGACTGTGTTGATGGTATTGGGCGAATTTCTGTAAATGGCTTGGCTGTTGGAGGTTTATGCTTTCAGGGTCTAGGCTTTTGTCTGTAAGGTATCTTTAGGTATTTAAGTGTGGTGAGCCAGTGTTGTGTAGGGATTAGAGTGCTTGAATTGGACTCTGAAGATCCAGGTTCTAGTTCTCACTTAGCCATGGAGCTCAGTAGGTGAATTTGGGCCAATCGCAGACTCTCAGCCTATCCTCTCATTTCTATACTTGTATTGTTTTAATTTTCAGGTTAAGCTCTCAGCTGTACACTGTATGTTATATTGTATATTATACTGTATGTTTTTTATATAGTGTTGTGGTTTGTGTTTACGATGGGAGCTTATTGTTATGTTGTTGTATATTGTTTTCATTGTTGTTTGTTTTGACTTCATGTGTTTTCTAAATCTGCCTTGAGAGTCCTCATGGACTATTGGCTGATGCAGGTTATCAATTCAGTTATAAATGGTTTTTTAAAAAAATACCACCTTGCAGCTGAAGCTATCTAGGTGGTTTACATAGTCCATTAAAACAGATAATGAAAGTACAATAAAAATATAAAATCAGTAGGGTATTAAAAAATTAAAACAGCTAAAAACTAATAATAAAAACAGATGACACCAAAAAGAGTAAGTTTGTGAAACACTTGGTGATCCCCCTCAAGCACCTGAGTGACCAAGTAAGTCTTTAAAGGCCTCAGAAAAGAGGACTGTCTTAAGATGGTACTGAAAAGATGACAGATTTGGTGCCAGCCAGTCATCGATGGGGAGATTATTCCACAGATCTCCCCCCACCCCGAGAAAGCTGTTTCCCTTGTCACTCATTGGATTTCCCTTGGGGTTGTCCTTCAGAGGAAGGCCCCAGAGGCTTAGTGTAACACCAGCTCCTGGAATTGCAACCGGAAGCATATAGGCAGCCAGTGCATGCGGGCCAGAATTGGTTTTGTGCGTTCAGTCCTGTGGATCACAGTTATGCGGCTGCATTCTGCACCAGCTGCAGCTTCTGATCTGTTTTCAGGGGCAGCCCCACATAGAAGGTGGGGAAGAAGAGGGGCTTGAAAACTCCGGGATATCAGTAGCAGCAGAAACCCCCTCTTTCCCTGGTGAAATTGTAAGTTGATGCTTCAGGAGACCCAGAAACAAATATTTTTTAAGAATATTTTCTAGTAGTAGCAAGTAATCCTTTTAGAAGACCATTTTGCTGTGTGAAAATTTAATAAGGAAAAAATTGCCATGCAGTGTTTCTGTCCAGAAAATGTTTGTATGAAGCACCCCACAGTGATAAGCCGCACGCTCAGTGTTCGGAGTCAGTGTGTTTTAAGCATGTTGGTGGATTAGTGCCACGGGAATTGCTTTAACTGCCTGATTCTGTTTCTTGTAGGCGGGCTGAGGTGAAGTGCAACAGATTGGCACCATGTTCCTTTATAACCTGACTTTGCAGCGAGCCACCGGCATCAGCTATGCCATCCATGGCAATTTTTCAGGTAAACTCCATGCTGAGACCAGGCCTCATAAGGTTAAACACAGCCTTTGTATTAGATGTAGTGCTCAGTTTCCCTCAAGGAATATGCCTGAAGTTCTGCTTGGAGTGGCAGAGGTGCTGGAGAGGGGGATACTTTCAGAAGCAGGGACCAGGGCCCCTGCTTTAGTGTCCCCAGGTTAGTCCCCAGCGACATGTCCAGGTGAGGCTTGGGAGGAATCCTGCCTGAAACCCTGGAGAGTTGCTGCCACTAGTCAGGACTGACTACTGGGCTGGATCGATCAAGGGTCCAGCTTGGTTTTAATATGAGATTTGCACTTTGTTGTGTATTTCCTGGCCAGATAAGCCAGTAATTGAGTGCCTAAGGCCCATTGGATAAAAGGCAAAGAGTTAAGGCAAAAGTGGGTGACCTTGCCCAAGAGGACCATGCGTTGTGGGTTCCATGGTCTGTTAAAAGGACACAATTCTTGTGAAAGCCACCCATAAGCCACTTTGGAATGTGTGGGCAACAACAGGAGGTACGGCAAAGGCAAATTTGTGTTCGAAGAGCCTTTTTTTGTGCAAGTACTCTGGATATGTGCTTGTCCACAGCTCCCTTCATTTCCAGACATTATGACCAAAACAAGGACTGCTTGTTTTTGGCACTCCTCTGCATCTTGGGCTGCTGATTGGGCTGTTGTTCTTTCAGGTACCAAACAGCAAGAAATCGTTGTTTCGCGAGGGAAAATCTTGGAGTTGCTTCGTCCTGATCCAAACACTGGAAAAGTTCATACCTTGCTGACTGTGGAAGTCTTTGGAATCATTCGCTCCCTGATGGCCTTCCGGTTGACTGGTGGGACCAAAGATTACATTGTGGTAGGCAGTGATTCGGGCCGCATTGTTATCCTGGAATACCAGCCCTCCAAAAATGTGTTTGAGAAGATTCACCAAGAAACCTTTGGCAAGAGTGGCTGCCGCAGAATTGTTCCCGGACAGTACTTGGCTGTGGATCCTAAAGGGAGAGCAGTTATGATCAGTAAGTTGGGATGAGTGCTGTGCATCATGGCTGAAGAACCAGATGGGAGATATTGTCCTGTTAGCAGTGCTGATTGTTGTCCCTCTCCCTGCTGGCCAATGGCTGTATTTTTGTTTAGTGTTCAAATCGCGAGTGATTTTAGCAAAGTCTGTGGACTGGTACAGCTATTTAGCAAGTGGTTGCTGAGAAGTAGAAGCTTTCTTAAGGCAACATAGTAAACTTGTGGCTGTGGTAACGTATCAACTCAAGATTTTCCCTCTAATGTTCTCAGCCAGCTTCAAGACTGACTTCATGGTTCCTACTTACACTTCTGGGTTAACCCCAGTTGAAGTTGTGTGCATTAACTGGTTAGGAAAAAACTGGGGCTGCTCTCTGCATATGTACTGACTGGCACATGCGTATGACCCCTCAGACTGTAAGTGCTTGCTGCCAAAAGTGCCACTGAAACTTCTGGCACTGCCTCTCCTGATTTTTTTTTTTTTTAAAACCATTTTCCTTCCTTGGGTACTGCTGGAAAAGCAGAGCCTTGGCCTGCAAGTTGCCCCTTGCCCCACTCCTCTTGGGGGCCCTGTGGGGAAAGCCCCAGGGCATACTTTGAAAAAGAAGGGAAGCCAGCAGAGCAGGGGAACGCTGGTGCTTTGCTCCCCAGCATGAAACTGTCCTCAGAGGAAGGAAAGGAATGTTAAAAGCCTTAAGGCGTGCTATCTGGAAAAAATGACTGTAAGGGCTGGGATTGTTTTCCATCAGAGAATTGATTAAGGGAGGGAGTCAAGTTGAAACGGAAGCACAGTACATGCCTAGCCAGGTGATTCTTTGGCAGAGGATGTGCCAAGGGCGCATGTAGCTCTTAGCAAGTGCTGCGAGGAAGTGGCAACAACGCATGGACTTAGCCAGAAAGTTTTGCACAGGTGACAAAGCCAACATGTGGCTTCGTGCTTAGCCTAGAGAAATTTCCTCTCCTGAGGACTGGAATGGAACCTCTGCTCTGTTCTGGCTGTTGGCAAGGCAATGGCAAAACTGCCATATGCTTTCTGGGGTACAAAATTTTTCCTCCTCCTCTAATGAAACTTCACTTAGCCAGGGGACATTTTAGAAACTTTTTAGTGTAGCTCAGCCTTAAAATGGGATATTCAGTGCGATTTAAAAATACACACCTGGCTCCAATGTCGATGTTGATGTTCATGTATATGGTATACTTTTATACTGTGGAGCCTTTTGTCGTGTTACCAATAGCAAGAAAATATGTTTGGCTTATCAGTTCCATCGAGGAAAACCACATGCCAGAAGCTTATTTCATGCAAAAGAGCTCTGATGCATATATATGTCTCTATATACAAGGCTTCCCCCTCCCCACCACTGAATAATGTTTATTTCTTTATGCTGTTGCCACATGTATGTTAACAGCATCCACAAAGAACTAGTTCACAGTAGTGGCTGTATGCTGATCACAAAGACTTTTGCACATATTTGAGCGTGTCTTACCTTCCAGGCTCAACAGTACAGAAAGGCAAAATAAAATTTCAGTGCCTCCTTGCCCCACTTCTGTCGGTTTTAAAATAGTGGATGGAATTTTGCGTTTTTGGGGTGCTAACTGAAAGAAAGTGTCTTGAATGTCATGCGTGTGGTACAGCAGCTGGTTTTCTTTCGCCTGAAATGATGATTTGGAGTTCATGTCTCTTCTCTGAGATAAATCATGAAGAAGCTTGGATCCATTTCTGACCAGGTTTTTGTTGCAGATGCTTTCCTTTTCTCTTAAAATCACCCATCAAAATACTGTTCTCTGTTTCAATGCGATCTGTTGGGGAGGGCAGGAAGAGCAAGGCTGTTGGTGCAGCAGAACAGCCGACTGTCATTTCACCTACACTGGGTACCACGGCCGGTCACACTGTCCAAACCTAGTCAGTGTGAATCTTGGGCATTGAAGTCACTCTTCTATCAAGCGCTGTCTCCCGAACACAAGATTGTAACTAGCCACCTGCTTATCTCCTGGGTGATGCTCTGTGCCAGCCGCCCCTGTGCCTATCATTTTCTCTCACCTGAGAGAAACTCTTAGAATTTATTTGTTTGTTTGGTTTATATATGCATTAACAGTCTAATAGGACACTCTAGGCAGTTTGCAATGCAACAAATAGCAGAGGGTGTGATAATAAAATTAACAGTGTAACAGTAATAACTATAGCAACATAAAAATACTGTAACAGTAATATAACATCAATGTCGCAACAGTATATTAATATTATGAGAATGAGGCGCTCTGCTCCTTTTCCCCTTGGCAGGGCTGATTGGAAGCTTTTGCTTCAGTTTAAACTATGACTCGCTGCCATGTCTGACCCTGAACAAATTAATGTTCAAATCATAGTTTAAGAAGTTGCCGAAGATTAACCACCGGTAAGGATTGGATAGCACACTAAGCTGGTGAAATTGAAATGGAAACAGATGCTTCTGAGGTTCGTGGCCATGTCAGAAGGGCAGGAGAAGGTGCAGGGAAGCTTTGAGGCTCACTTGACTCTTTTTCAGAATGCTAAGCCATGTTCTACTGTGTTTCCCCGAAAATAGGACCTACCCCGAAAGTAAGACCTATTACCAAAAATTATTGGTAATAGGTCTTACTTTTTTTTTGCTTACTTGTAGAGTGCCAGCCGAGTGCAGAGGGCGCAGTGGGAGGATGCAGAGTGGCTTAAGCCGATACTTCCTCTATAGTCCTGGCTCCTATGAAGGGCAGAGTGATGTCAAATGCACTCCGCCTGTCACAGGAGCCGGCACTAGAGGAAGTATCGGCTCATGCCGCTCTGCTTCCTCCGCTGCCTGTGACAGTACCGGTAGCAGGCGCTGGAGAGGATCTGTGTATACAGCTTTTGGCAGCAATTGGAGTGCAGAGCAGAAAGGTGCAGAGCAGAAGCGTGCACAGCAGAAGGGTGAACATTAAATGTACATTTTGTACATTAAAAAAATAAGACCTAATGTGTCTTTTGAGCAAAAAAAAAAAAAGACAGTGTCTTATTTTCGGGGAAACACGGTAACTGAACACAATCAGTAGAATTGGGAAAAACATCTCTGTGACTTGGTTCACACCTCATGGCTGCTCAGCAGGCTTCAGCTGTGTCAGACATCCCAGGCTTTCCCCATCCCTGGGCTAGTTATCAGGATAACTGAGTTCTGATTTGTGGGTTGCTGGGAGGGGAACAGTCCAGCCGTTTCTAACCCAGGGTTTGTTCTTGGTTTCAAGTCCGAGTTCTGGCTCTCCAAGTTGTAGTTCTGGGTTTGGACATTATGATCAAGAGCCTGATCCCAGGTGGTTGGATTCTGCAGAACTGTCAGAACCTGATATGATGCCTGCTTCTGCTTCCTTTTCCACAGTCCATGGTTAACAAACTGTAGGTTGTTTGTGACATGTGAACCTGGTCTCTGTCATCAGAGGACTGTGCGATGGCCTGCTCTACTTTGCCTTCTCCTTGTTCAGGAGCAGGTGTGGCACTCAGGTTTGTGTTGTGTGTTCTTTTCATGTGCAGGTGCCATTGAGAAGCAGAAACTGGTGTACATCCTGAACAGAGATGCGGCGGCGCGACTTACAATCTCCTCCCCACTAGAAGCCCACAAGGCCAATACCTTGGTTTACCACGTAGTCGGAGTCGATGTGGGCTTTGAAAATCCCATGTTTGCTTGTCTGGAAATGGATTATGAGGTACTGAGGAGCTGGCCTCACCAGCGGTGTCCCCGTCGCCCTCTCTCTCCCATTCGAAGCGGCATCGTCCTTTGGCATCAGTTGCTTTGGGCTTGTTGGTACATGTCAAGCATACGTATTTTAGTTGCCATTGTGCCTTGGGTCCTCCTTTACTGAATTATTTTGTTACCTGTTTTGGTGGATGATTGCCCTGGAAGACAGGGGAAGTAAAATTCCCTGATCTGTCAGACTCTCACAGTGGCTGTCTTGGAAGCTACACTGGGCCCTTCACTTGCATGTTTCTGATCTCGCACTTCAGGGAAACCTGTTACATCCGTCCACTTGCTTTGTTTGACGACAAAATCCTTGGTTGCCCTGCAGCAGAAATTCTCAGGGCAGTCCTCTTGGAAATGTCAAAGTGTCTTCCCTCTTTCCTGCCAGCATGTGCTGGGAGTTTCTTGGTGGCATGCAGCGGTGTGGTATTGTTCTTCCCAGGAAGCTGACAATGACCCCACGGGAGAAGCAGCTGCCAACACCCAGCAGACGTTGACATTTTATGAGTTGGATCTGGGCTTGAACCACGTTGTCAGAAAATACAGCGAACCCTTGGAAGAACACGGCAACTTTCTGATAACAGGTATGGCCCTGCTTGGGGTTTACGTGAGTGGAGCTGGCTGGAGCCAGGCTCAAGGCTAGAGGGCCCCGGAAGCCCCTTCTGGCTCACTTGGTTTCTATATGTCTGTGTATGCAGCCTTCTCAGGAAAAGGGCCTTCTCTGAATTCAGAGGGTGACCCACTGGCAACACTATTGTGCCTTTTGTTGGCTAATCCTTGGGAAACATTAACCAAATTAAAAGTCGCTGTTCTTCAGTAGGTAGTCCAAAACCGCATCTGATCTATGGCAGCTCCATCCGGGTATCTCGGGGGTTTCTTGCTGCACCTTGCGGTTGCCAGTGGCCCAGTTTCAAACCATGGCGTTGTCATAGTCCGGCACACACACACCAGCACAGAGCAGCCTTGTGAAGAACAGAGGCAGCCAGGGCTGAGGGACAAGCAGACTCTGGATGGGCAGGAATGTTTGGGCCTGCTCAGCTTCTGAGTAATGCTGGCAAACCCTTCTGATTCCGTTGGCAAGCCCCTGCTTCCCTTCCCCTTTCTAGATATTAGCATTGCGTTAAGCAGTAGGGGAAGAGCGTCAAGCAGAACGAAAGCTGGTGGGGACTGGTAGGTGAAGGGCCCTGCAAAGCTTCCCCAGCACAGTGCCTTCCAGATGTGCTGGACTCCAGCTCCTGTTATGCCAGCAGCTCTGGTCCTCATCTGGAGGGCATCAGGTTGAGGAAGGCTGAGGCCCTGCCGTGCTTGGCTGATGCCACCTCCAAGCCTCAAAAATTGCGACCCCTCTCTTAATTCCTCTCCTGTGAGACCGAGATCAGCTCATCGTGCGCTTGCTTTTGTGCCATTTCTTAGACAGTGTTTATGTTATTCTGTAGTGCCTGGAGGCTCCGATGGTCCCAGCGGGGTGCTGATTTGTTCTGAAAACTACATCACCTACAAAAACTTTGGTGACCAACCAGATATTCGATGTCCCATTCCCAGGAGGAGGGTAAGAAGTCTTGTGGCCTGTACCAGTCTGTAAGCAGCTGTCAGTAACGCTACCTGGGCAGCTGAATGGCCCACATTTGAAAAGAAGATACGCTGGTTTCAAGGACTGCTTTACTCCATAAAATGTATGGATCCTACCCATTTCCTCTCATGCATGCATGCATACATATGCATACAGAATATTTCTCTGTTTATAGAATATAATGTGCATTAAGAGCCATTGAATATTGCTCATCCGCACGGTCCAGGTTCAGACCCTCCCACATGGCCATGGAGCTGGGTGGCTTTGGGCCAGTTGCAGTTTCCAGTACTCCCCAACGGATGCGCTGGTGCAGGGGCCGTCGAGCAAGGCTCTCCTTGCGCCTGCGTTTGCCTCTGCGTCTCTGACTCGCTGTTCTCTCTGCTAGAATGACTTGGATGACCCTGAGCGAGGCATGATCTTCGTCTGCTCGGCTACGCACAAGACCAAGTCTATGTTCTTCTTCCTGGCTCAGACGGAGCAGGGGGATATCTTCAAGATCACCCTGGAGACAGATGAGGACATGGTACGGCTCTGCAGTGGTGGCTGGGGGCTTGCGTGGGGGGGAGGGGATGAGTGTCCTCCGGGCAGGCTCATGCAGGGGCTCCTTTGTGGTGGTTTCAGGTCACAGAGATTCGACTCAAGTACTTCGACACTGTCCCTGTAGCGGCGGCTATGTGTGTGCTGAAGACAGGGTTTCTCTTTGTGGCTTCCGAGTTTGGGAACCAGTGAGTAATCCTCCGGATGCTTTCTTGTGCCGCTGAAGCTGTGTGCGTGCGGCCATGGCAGGCTTTCTGCAGGCCTGCAGAGCCCACGGGATGCTGCTGGCTTCCTCCAGGCTCTCCTTTCCGCAGAGCCGCAAGTGCGCCCAGTAGCCCACCTCAGCCCACGGGGATGGCCAGTGCCGCGTGCGTCTTGCCCTGCAGAGGACCTCGTTGGCCTCACGGCACGGGACGCCACTCTTTGGAACTGCAGGGGGCACATACGTTGTCATTTGCTCTGGTTGCCGCAGGGAATAAAGAGCTGGAGGGGGGCTTCCCGTCTGAGCCCCTTGGCCACTCTTGCTCGCCCTGAGAGAGCCTGCTCCAGCAAGCAGTCCCGCCGCTTGAGCATCCCTGGGATGGCAAAGCCTGCCGGAGGAGGTGCTGGCTGCCCTCCTAGGTGGCGCTCTTCTCTTCGCAGCTACCTCTACCAGATTGCTCACCTGGGAGATGATGACGAGGAACCCGAGTTCTCCTCTGCCATGCCCCTGGAGGAAGGAGACACGTTCTTTTTCCAGCCACGGCCGCTTAAGAACCTGGTGCTGGTAGATGAGCTGGACAGCTTGTCTCCTATCTTGTGCTGTCAGGTGAGTGGCGTTTTCGGTTCCGCTGCCCTTCCTTGGCCTTCCTTGGTGACTAGCTGCTGTACCGAGTGCCGCCCTCTGAAATGGAGCAGTGCACGGCCAGCTGGGCACCCAGGCTGCTTGTGAAAGTGGCACGCATCCTCGGCAGTGGCGGGCTCCTCACCCATCTCCCAGAGCATCCCGAGACTGCACGTTGTTCTGCCAGGTGTGCTGTTAGCACACCTGGGTTTCCGGGAAGAACCACACTCTGGAGCCCACCAAGTAATCATCCGGTAGGTCGAGGGGAGCTACATGCCTGGCTTCCCAGTAGAATCGGACCATGAGCATGCACAGGTATGCAAGGGGTGTTGTACCTTATTATCCCAAGTTCAGAGACTTACATCTCCATTATCTACCATGCTCATGCATCACCTTTCCTCTAAGTGACTCAGAAGCATTGGGCTTTCCATTTATTTTCACAACTGCTGAAGAAAAGGACTGAGTACAGGGGTGGCCCAGTGGGAATTTTATCCACTACACCACAATAGCTCTCCGTGTTGACATCTTCCAGTTCTCAGGGTTTTGCTAGAGGCCCAGAAGGATGGAGGGGGCTTTCTTATGTGTCGAGTCTGCAATTGGTGCTGTTGCAACCCCAGTAGCTTAATTTAGGTTACGTTACTGTCTCTTACTGCCGGCAAGTGCTCAAAGCGCGTTTGCAGGTGTGAACATTTGAGGGGAGCAGATTCTGTCACTGCAAAGAGGAGGCTGCCTGTCCTCCTAAAGCCTGACGGCAAATTTCCCAGGGTAGCAGCAGAATTCAGGCACAGGTCTGGAACTCGGCCTTGTGTCCCGCAGCACCCAGCAAATAATGCCAGAGGCTTTGTTAGCCCTTGTGAAGTGGAGGTTCTGGATTTTGGCCAGTTTTCGGATGGAGGCCTTGCCTTGCCTTGCCAGCCAAAGTTGGACAGCGTGCAGCCATGGGATAAAACATGTCACCGCTGGAGAAGGTGGTTGCCTGTTGCACAGAGTGTGGTGAAGGCTTCCATTGGATGACACTACACACAGCATTCAGCGAAGTAGTGGTGGTGTAGACATTGCTCTGCTGTGCATCCGGATGCTACAGGCCGCCCGCCACCGATGCGCAGTCGCAGTAAGCTGAACGGTAGATGCTTGCAGGATCCATCCTCTGGCACAGTTGGCTGGTTTCCCTTCTGCTGGTGAATCCCATCATGTTTTGTGCTTGTTCTTCCTCCACACTCCACCTGCCCCCTCAAACAGCCCACACACGGTGGTCCCATGCCTACGGTTTCTTACATTCTAGTTGCCTTCACCCACATTCTAGCAGCCTGACTGTCATAAAGTGTTCCTTGAGAGGCACTCCTCGCTGCAGTGCCCTGCAGCTCATGTTTTCCCCTTAGTGTCCCATGCCGTGGATTATTAATACGGATGTCCCATGTGCCAGGAGGGAAATGTGAGGAAGCTTTGCTTCCTTGCTATGCTCCCAGTCCTTCCCCCCATGGGAAGGTGTGCTGGGAAAACAGACTTGCTCTAATAACAGACACGTGTGCAAGTGTGTGAGGGCGTAACTCACGTTCCCAGTTACTCAGATGGAGGTGATAAAAACGAAAGACCTTTATTCCAAACATCTACAAGATTTATGTTTACGATAGATAATGTAGGGGCTACTGCAGAGAGCTCCAGGCAACACAGTTGCCCCCTCCTTTTTGACCTCTCTGAGATTCGTCACATGGACCTTCATCTCCTAACGCGTCCTTCTCTACGGGGGGTGGACACACTTCTTTCTCTCCTCTCTCGCAATTGGTCTAAGTGTCAAAGTCTCCTCAGTTGGGCATTTCCCATGGCAACTGACTCCCTGATTTCCAGGAACTCCCTCAAAACCATGAGAGTCAGGTGGCAGGGGGGCTGTTTGTGCCGTGGGCACCAAGTCTAAATCTCCCTGCTCTAAAGCCTGATCCTCACTGGGCACGTCTGGCCCTCTTTCGCGTGCTGACGCCTCCCCAGAGCCGTCAGGCACAGCAGCAAGACATCCTGGCTTGGTGAGCGGTGTGCTGTGCCATTAAGGGGGAGGCTGTGTCAGCGCGCGCTGCCTGCTGGGGGAGGTTTGCCTGCGCTGTTGGTGTACCAGAGGCATTCTCTGGTAGCTTTGGTACCCTTGCCTGGAACCCCGGCTAGTGCTGTAATGCAGAACGGCTGTGCTGCTCAGTCACTCCAGCTGAAGTCAGTGTTGTGGCTGTAGGAAGGCGATCAAGCAGCAGTAGCCAGCTTCAGTGTCTCTCCACTCTTGCTGGCTCACTTTTGTATGTTCTCTTCCTGCAGATAGCTGATCTGGCCAATGAGGATACGCCCCAGTTATATGCAGCCTGTGGAAGGGGCCCCCGGTCTTCTCTGCGGGTCCTCAGACATGGACTTGAGGTAAGAAGGGGGGCAGCACAAGGCGGCGTTGAGAGGAAGTGCCTGCAAGGCCAAGGCTCAGAGAGTGTCACGTTCATTGGCCTGCGTTCAGAGCCATCACAAGCGTTGAAGAATCAGTCTGCCTTGGTGTGGGACGGGGTGCAGGGCGGTTTGTCCTGATGTACAAACCCACTTGGTGGCTGGGTGGTGAGGTGACCTCCAGGGATGGTCTCCAAACCAGCCCAGAACAAGCCATAGGTTGTTCCAGGTTTAGAATCCACCTCGCCACCCAATTTTTCAGGTTTGGATGGCGCAGCGACACAGAACTGGTATGGGAGGTCTGTGGCCACCACATGTGGGTGGGAAAAGCCAGCCACCATGGCTTTTCTTCCTTCCCTGGTTGTGCAGACCCAGCCTTCATTCATGGGCAATAGTGGGAGGAGTCCATACCGCCCTTGCTGGAGTATCTGGAAGATCAAGGAAGGATTGAAAAGGAGGGGGGCACTGCTGAGTTTGTTCAGCATCTGAAAGCAAGAGGGTGGCGTTGCCAAGGGGGAGATATTGCCACCCTCATTTTGGTGCACGAGCTCCTTTGGCCTCCCCTGCTCCCCAGTGCTTCTGACTTGCATGCTCAGGTGGTTCGGTGTGATTTCTCCCCCAGTCCTCCTCCCCTGTGTCCAGGTCACCCTGCATGATGTACCCCGTCTTGGCAGTTCCTTTCTATGTTACCTGTTATCCTTGGGTGCACCCTTTGACGGTGGAAACCTGCAAGGGATTTGACCAGCTGAGATTACTCATAGCAGATGGCCATAAGCACACATTTTCAAAAGACCACCAACAGCAAGATTTTCAAAAATCACATTCCCAATCACACATTTCCAAGGCATATAAACAAAAAAGCCAGGAAATGGAAAGGTCTGGCCATCTGAATGGGGAAGGGAGACAAGATGGGCTTGCTGCAGATTCTGGCATGTGTGTGGAGGCAGCTGGAGGACTAAGGGAAGAGAAGAAGCCACAGCCAGCCCCACTCTTTGTCAGGTGAACCACGAGTTATTCCATAAGCGGTCCACACACTGTAGCCCTGGTGAGACGTGCAGCCCATCTAGTTGGGCAGGAACATTGAGCATTGCCCAAGTACCGAATGCCATTTTGGGAAGGTTCTTGGGGGTATCTTTATAGGGGCTTAGGAGCAGGCAGTTGCTTCCTGCCCTGCCCTGCCCTGCCCTGCACAGTTTTAATTACCAGATCTCTCCATTTGGAAGGGAACACGTTTAAGCCTGAGGGTGAACTGAAGCCGTCTGTCTTGCCAGGTGTCTGAAATGGCTGTGTCGGAGTTGCCTGGTAACCCTAATGCGGTGTGGACAGTGAGGAGACATGTGGAAGGTAGGAGGGCTTTCCCTGATTTGTCCGCCTCTTGTAAAAGACTCGGTTGACTTCATATGCTTTGTAACTTCTGTAAGAGGGTCCAGAATTTTGTTGTGCATATGAAGGCTGTCTTAAATGGCTCAGACTGCTAGTTGTCCAGCGTCTTGAGTCTGTGTTGCTTCCCTTTCAGAAAGAACTATGATTTTCATGCTGTTTCAAATGTGCAAATTAGAGGGGCACAGGGTGTATGAAAATGGCACCTGCTTCGTTCAGAAAAGCTGCACCAGCTTAAGGCTTTTCGGAGGCCTTTGATTGCTTGTCCGTGGCACTCCTGCCTTTCTTGCTGCGTGCTTCAGGGCCACCTGGGACTCAGGAGCTCGCGTCTGCCACCAGAGAGCAGCGAAGCCGTCGGCCCTCTGAGTGCCTGCCCGTGATGCGGTGCGTAATAGTTGGGAAGCGCTTGGCCATGTTGCCCCTGGGACTCAGCATTTGGCTTCCCCCAGTGGGGTCCAGGGGTCCCTTCCCCCTCAGGCTGCCTTCCTGGAACTGTCTGTCAGCAGCCAGTTCCTGGAGTTTCTGCCGGCAGATACGTGGGCGACCCTCCCCGACCTTCCTGTGGCGGCCCCGGCTTTAGTGGCAGAAGAGGCATCCGCGCATTGACTGTGGCTTGTTGTAGTCACATATCCCTTCCCCACCCCCTTCTCCCAAGAGCCCTCCAGTGAATGTTGGCAGGGCTTACAGCACCGCACAAGATGTGCTCATGATATTTGGAGTGATGAGGCCTACTCTTGCTCACCCAACTTTTGTACGCCTTCGGTCATGAAAGCAGATGGGAGGCTGTCTGAGGGTCAGGGTGAGAGCCTTGAACATTTCATCCTGCCCACAGAAAGGTGTGGAGGCCTCTTGCTTTGAAGCAAGCCGCTCTCACTGCCGCGCTCCTCCCTGCTGGACGGCTCCCATTTTTTGCAGGGGGCATCCCCGTGGCAGCCTCCTGGCCGCGGGTGTTTGGTTGAGGCACATGATCTTGACCTGGACCAGGCAGTGCTGGAGGGAGTGTGTCCACCCCAGGCTGCCTGCCCTGATCCAAGCCTGGCTTGGGTGCAGTTTGGCTGGGCACCGGGCGGGGGACTGGGCCCCCGTTGGTTCTGCCAAACCTCTCAGCAGCTTTGGATACCATCGACTGCAGTATCCTCCTGCGTGGAGTGGACGCGGAAGGCTGCCCTGGGGCAGCTCCCGTGTTTCCTGCAGAGGCGGTTCTGAGGGGCGATGCCTCCCCTCTTCGTCGCTGTGCGGCCATTGGCACGAGGCGGGCTGGGCAGCCTACAGGGCACAGTAGTCCCTCTGCCTCGATGTGTGCTGCCAGGCCCAGAGAGCCCTCCCTGCTTCCCCTTCTCGCCTGGGTGAGTATCCCAGCTGCCACACTGGAACGGCCGTTCCAGCCCAGATCCTGGGGCAAGGAGGGGGAGGCTTTGCTGCGCTGCTCCTCTGCAGTCCTGCTGCTGTTGGGATCCTTTTGCCTCCCAGGAATATCTGTGAGGAAAGAGGCCATCCTGGAGGAGACTGGCGAATGGGAGAGGCTTTAACCACGTCATTGCCTCTTGATCACATTGGAGCATCCTGGAAAGAGAGGCTTAAATTTCTCCATGTTTGCCTGCTGAGATGTTGATGGATGAAGGGAAATGAGAGAGAGTTTGTCGCACCGCCTGGGACCCTCAGGACCAGAAAGGTTGCCTCCTCTCCTGCGGTGTACTTTAAGGTCCCATATTCTGCCTCCCCTCCCCGCTGGGTAATATACATGAAACCACCGGGGGGGGGGCATTCCAAGCCTGGGGGTCGGTGCCATCAGTTGCCCAACCTCCTCTTCCCGTTCTATCTAAATATGAGGAAGCTCTTTGAGTGCCAAAGTCAGTAACAGACCGGATGAGGGTGAACAACTTGAAGCTTAGTCTAAGCAAGATGGAGGTGCTCCTGGTCAGTCAAAAGGAGGAACAGGAAATCTGGACTTCAACCAAGCCCGGGGGGGCTTGCACTCCCCTAAAGATAGTGTTGGGCGTTTCAGCCCTGAACCTGGACGCCCAGGCTGGCGCACCAAAGACACTTGACGCAGGAGGTGCCAGCTCTGGTCCCACTCATGCCCTAGCTCTGTGCTGCTTGCACTGCTGCATTGTGCCCACAGCTCCTGCTCGAACAGCCTCATTTCCAGACACCACGGAAGGTGCTGCTTGTGACCCATTGAAGCCCTTGCCACTTGGCCCCGGGGTGTTGGCCAGGCTGCGTTCTCCCACAGTGAGCCTGCCCTGGCAGGGATGCCTCTCTGTCCTGCCACGAGTGGGGACACCTTTGGCAGGAGCCCAAGGGAGAGACTGCTTGGTGGCTGCTCCCTGGAGCTCCCTGCCAAGGGCGTCTGCATCCTCCAACTACCAGCAGCAGGAGACATTTTTCTTCCAAGAGGTGTTTGGCCTTTAGGTGGATTTGCTTGTTGAAGGAGATTGTAAATGGTGGGCGCTTTTTATTTTTATTTGAACAGATGTAATTGCATTTTATTAGACATTCTCTCTGCATAGTGAGTGCTGCTAGCGGAAAGGCAAGGTGTCATTGGAGAACACAAAAGAGCGCTTGGCTCCGGCTACCCGGGGGGCACCCTGCCGTGGGTGGGGGCGGGCTAGCCGGTTGAGGTTCGGTCTGGGCAGGGCAGGTACTATTGAGGGACGGCCTCATCTGGGTGGGTGGCCCTCCCTCTGAAGGGCCAGGCTCACCGCTGGGCTGCTCTGGGGAGGTCAGGGCAGGGTTAGGGTATAAAACCCTGGATGTTGGGGGCCAGGATACCTGGAAGACCTCCCTATCTCATTTGAACCTGCCTGCTCCTTTGGAAAGAGTTCACAAACTTCAGCTTGGCTGGCGTGCTTCGAAGGTCCTGTACATCTCACACAAGCGATGCATGATTGGGGGGGCGGGATACTGGATGGACAGAGTCTCTTTTGTGATGGTACCCCAACCATATACTTAAAATGGCTCTATCTTTGTTTTCTTCTAGGTAGGTGACTTTAACCTTTTTGTCAGGTCTGGCCCTTGAGCACTTCTAAATGTGATCAGTGCCTTTCTTTGTTTTGAAAGGAATCTGGTTTCTTTTCCAGTTTGTTTAAATAATGCAGTTTAAAGCATTTCAATTGTGTGGTGCCCTAGAGCCCTTTTCCAAGCCAGAAGGAAGCTCGGCAGCGTTGTGAAATGTGGGACCACAGATGAGAAATGAGCAGACGCCTCCGGGCCTCGCTCTCGTGGGCGTGTGCTGCCCGTTCAGACGTGAATCAGTGCTCCAGAGTGGGGCCAAGCGTGTGTGGGCCTTGGACGTCCGTACGTGGTCTCTGCCATTTGTGACCAGTGTGAGGCTCTGGAAGGGCCCTTGGGCTGCTGTGGCCCAGCACCCTGTTTCTTGACATTTCAGACAGCTGTCCCCATCTGTGCCTTCCAGGGGTGTAGGGCTGCAGCTCCCATAATCCTTGGCTTGCTGGCTGGGGATGATGGGGGCTTTGGGTGGCAGCATATCTGGACAGCACTGGACTCGGGGAGGCTGCTCGGGAATAAGCTTTCCTGAGATGCAGGCACTGCCTGCCCTTCCCCGACCGGGTGCCAGTCTGATAATGTGGCCATGAGGGTGAGTTTCCTCCGACAGCAGGAGGAAGAGCCGGACTTGGATGAAGCAGAACCTGGTCCAGCAAACATCCCCACAGCTGAAAAACAATATGGCCACCATGGACTGTAGCACACTGTCAGCGTCTGAACGACCCGTGCGTGGCGCTGCTCTCCTGTTACGGTGCACTCAAATTGTCATAAGGGTTTTTAAAGCTCTGTCCCATCTTACACTGTGTGTGATGCATTAATGTGTTAATGCATGGTGGGAGTCTCACATTTGCCATGCCTGATTCTCTGTGGTTTACCCCTAACTTGGTGCTTGCCAGTTTTTCCCCTTTTGTAATGAGCGGACGTACGAGCACAGCCAGGCACCATTGGATCCCTGCGTCGCCACAGTGTGGAGCCCCCCGTCTGTGCCTGGCTTGCACTTGGGCAGTGACTCATTCATGTGTGTGCAGCACAAATGCTAACCTTGGCTGGTACGTAGTCTGTGGTACTACCAATACCAAGCCTTCTTTTTTCTTCCACAGGTGGCTGGTGGTGGAGGTGCTGATCCCCTCCCACAGGTGTGTACCTCTGGCTGGGGCTGTGCTGGCGAAGAGGGAGGTGGGAAGGGGCTTAGCTCGAGCCTCTTTTTAGTGGTGTGGTTAGCAACATCCCGACTTCATCTATAGAGTCTGCCCCCCTGTGGTCACTGGCTGGAGTCCTCTGACCCATTCCTGAACTTTAGGGTAAGGAGGGCCTTCGCCCTTCAGCTGGAATCCTTATGGGGAGTACGCAAAGGTTACTGCTCCTCCACTTGCCTGTAATTTATCTCATGAATGGTATTTCAGAGGAAGTGATTTGTGATTGGGGCCTTTTCAGTGGTGGCACCCTGGTTGTGGAATGCTATCCCCAGAGAGACTCGCCTGATGCATTTTCAGGCCTCCGTGAAGACCTTATTTTCCCGGGCTTTTTTGACCTTGAATTAAACCACTAAAATGTTGCAAGAGCCTCGCATTGATGCTGACCTTTACATGGATTTTTACTCTTATTCTGTATCATACTTTCTCTTGGGTATATATAGGATTTCCATATGATACTTGAATTCTGTGGTTTTACATCTTGAGTGCTCAGCTGCCCAGAGAACTTTGGCTATTGGTGATGTGGAAATACAGTGAACAGGTTACGTTAAATAATGCGGTGGTATGTATGTGGGTGGCATCCCCACTTGTGTTCCTAGGCCTGAAGGGTTGGCCTGGTGCAGTGATAGCGAACGTTTTAGAGCCCGAGTGCCCAAACTGCAACCCAAACCCACTTATTTATCACAAAGTGCCAACACTACAATAAAACCTGAAAACTGCGGTTTTAGTTTAGAAAAAGCATCTCACAGCGAGTCCAAGCAAATATATATATATCCTTGGCAGTACACTGACCGGCCACATGAAAGTTCGGATGAGCCGCGGCTAATGAGTCGCGGCTTGTGGTGTCATTACCTGGCACCGCTACTCCTTTCCAAGCATGCACATGGCCCCTGTGTGCGCTGTTATCCGATGCTCAGCTGCTGGGACGACTTGGCTCGCGTGCCGACAGAGAGGGCTCTGCTTGCCTGCTGTGGCAAGCGTGCCATAGCTTCACCACCAGAGGTTTTAGTTTAGAAAAAGCCTCATAGCCAGTCCAAGCAAATACATATATCCTTGGCAGCGCACTGACCGGCCATGCAAGAGCTCGGATGAGTCGTGGCCCGTGACGTCACTGCCTGGCGCCACTGCTCCTTTCCGAGCCTGCGCATGGCCCCATGTGCACTGTTACCCACTGCTCGGCTGCTGGGGCGATGCTGGGGCACCTTGGCTCGTGTGCCGGCAGGGCTCTGCATGCCCCTGTGGCACGCGTGCCGTAGGTTCGCCACCACTGGCCTCGTGGCTGTCGTTGGGAGCAGGGTCCGAGTTTGGTTTAGCTGCGCTGCACCGGGAAGCCAAGATGCGCCTCGAGTTAAGATTGGTTCCGAAATCCTGCCATGCTTGTGCTCTGGACTCCGTGAGCGCGGCTCCCTGTCAGTTCTTACTGTAAACGGTTGCAACCTGTGTGAGCTGCCCACAGTATTGGCGCCCTCCTGGTGTCGCTGCGATCTCTGTCGAGGTGCTGGAGAAGCAGGAGAAAGGGAGGCTGCCCGGCTGAGGAGTTCCTGCCCAGCTGGGCTCTCTGTAGGCTCCGGCCCCTGCCAGGCCCCGCACTCGCATCGCCAGAGTCCGGCTGCAGCTGCCCAGGTCCCTGTGCCTGCTGCGTGCAGGCCTTCACCCCCTTCTGCATGATGGTGCAGCTGCCATTGCAGGGCGCGGGCACTGCCCTTCTGGTTCAGCCACTGCTGGTTTGCCCTTTGGTGGAGGGTGACTGGCAGGCAGGCCCCAGCTGCCGGCCCCTTTGTCCCAGACCCTCTGTTGAGCTGACTTTCCCCTCTCCGGGGAGGCTATAAGCGATGGGGCAGCATACAAAAACTCTAAATAGGGGAGAGAGAGAGAGGACCCCGCTGTCTCATGAGCCTTCCTCAGAGAGAGCAGGGCAGAAGGGGTGCAGGCATGCAGCTCTCCAGTAAGCTTATTGGCTCTGGATTTCTGCCAGCTGCCTTGCTTGTCTTTCTCTTTCTGGGCTGATGACAATGCCAGGTTCCTCCCCTTTCATCCTAGAGGAAAGCCCAGGCCAGCTCGGTGTGATGGGCTCACAAGCTGCTCTCGGTTCCTTGCAGGGCCCGTGCTGCCCTGCTCCCTGCCCCCCACACCGCAGGTTCTCCATAGCACCTTTTTTCTAGGGTGCCTGTGTCTTTCCATGCAGCGGAACGGCCATTGCTTGATACCCTGCGCGTGCGTCGGTTTATGCACCGATGAGCATGGCAGGCAGCAGGATTGCACTGTACTCTTCCAGATGGAAGACAAAGCAGCAGTGCCAAGAGGAGGCGGTGACAGACGGACAACTCTCAGGCCCCCGTTGCCAGGCGCTTTCTCCTTCGGTCCCTGCTCTCTCAGATGGAGCTATTCTCGCGCGATCCTCTGTGATGAATCACCCCGACGGACCTTGCTCCCATTCATTTCTGCCCCTCTGCCAACAGCCAGGCAGTGGCTGTGAGCGTCATGGGACCTCCACTCCAGATAGATTTCTCAAAGGCCTGCACACTAGGGGAAGCGCTGAGTGTTAGGGCTGATGTTGGTCCTGCAGTCAAAGGGTGGGATTTTATGCAGAATGCCGTGTGTGGGTGGAGTCTCGCTGCTGCTGATCGTGATAACAGTTTGGCAGGCCAGGCACAAGTCCTGTTTGAAAGATGGGAGGTGGTAAATTGAAATGGGTACAGCGATAGAAGTGAGCCCATGGGGAGATGCCAATCCTAGGCAAACCCTCAGATGGAGAAAGGACCTTCTGAGTGGCTCTGTTGGCAGAATGGACACGGGGAGCTTCTGATGGCAGTGTGGTGGCTTACGGTGCAACATGGAGAATAGTCACAGTCACACGCACGTACATTTCCTTTCAAGCCCTACCCTTAATGCTCATTTTGTTATCGTGGCCAGAAAATGCCAGGAGGGGCACCTTGGTGCTTAAGGAGACACTCCAGTGAATCGGTGCACGGCCTGTTGGCCAAAACCTCTGAAGGGCCCTGTTGCCCATCAGCCCTTGCCAGCCTGGGCGGTGGAGAGAGAGAACGGGCGTCGTGGCTTTCCAGAGGCTCTCATGGCTTCGCTGCTCTCATGGCTTCTGGCCTTGGATTCAGATTATGAGTCTGTGCCTGGATGCAGGCAGCACTGCACCCTGGGCTGCTCCCAGGCTTTTTAACCCAAGAATCACAGGAGGAGTGGCTTATGCCACCACTTCCAATTTTGTACACATCCTCTGATCTGTAGCCGGGGCTCCCTTTCCGGACTCCTGCTGGATTTCAGAGATGCAGCTCGTTGGGCCTCCGTGGCATTTCCTGCGCCCTCGCAAGAGGGAGTCGCTTTCTTTGCCTCTGGTTTTGGAGCAGTGATCTAGAGCAGACTTTCCCACGCTGATACCTTTCGCACGTTTGGGGCTACAACTCTCATCAGCCCCAGAAGGCATGGCAGAGGGTGGGGTGGGGGTGATGGAAATGAAGGTCCAGCACATCGGGAGGGTGCTGGGCTGAGGAATCTTCATCTAGTGAATCTTGAGTGTCAGTTTCTTAATCAAAGTGGCTTCTACTGTTTGTGGCTGCAAGGAAGTGTGGTGGGGTTGTCGCACGGTTTCTAGTCTTTGATCTTCACATACCTCTTCCTACCAGCCCCATCTTCATAAAAGGAAAAAAAAAAACAAATTATATGGATTGTGCAGGTGTAAGACTGTACGTGTGTGGGAATAAGCTTGCCCTAGCAGGCACAGTGCCTTGTCAGATCAGTTCCATAGGACTGGAAGGCAGAGCAGGAAAGCCTTCACTCTGTCTGCATTTGGTGGTGGTGATGTTTAAGCTGTTGCTCAAAATGGAAGAACGTGTTCCCAGGAAGGTCTGCCCTCTCCCATGCTGCTACCCTCCCCCTGTCTGGAATATCCTCCTCTTGCGGTGGCTTCTTTCTGTTGGTGAGCAGCCTGACTAAGCAGTTTGACTGGTGGGCCTGCGGAGAATCTGGGCTGAATAGGAGCTTCAGCTACTGCATGGCACAGAAGCATAGTGTGTTAAGTAATGATTTCAGAATTCAGCTCTAGCCCGTTCACTGTCTACTGACTGGTCCAGCTATGGGCAGCGGCAGGCAAGCCCAGCGCCCACCCTGCCTGCTGCCCAGCCTCTCGGGGCTGCAAGAAGTGAGCTCACGGTTGGCGTTCTTTACTTGCCCTTTGGCATGGTTGCCCAAAGTTAGTCGTCACTGCTTCACCCACTTTTCCATTCTCTGCATGTAGCTAAAGGCTGATGTTTTCTGGGGCTGAAGTCTGGTATGCCCCTTCTGTGGACTTTGTCATGGGGGAAGCCCTCTTTCCTGTGAGTCTAATGCCAGTGTCTTTCCTTTTTTCCTACAATCAGATGAGTTTGATGCCTATATCATAGTGTCCTTCGTCAACGCCACCCTGGTGCTCTCCATTGGAGAAACAGTAGAGGAAGTGACAGACTCTGGGTTCCTTGGTACCACCCCAACTTTATCCTGCTCATTGCTGGGGGATGATGCTCTGGTGCAGGTGAGGCTACCCTTGCTCCCTTAGGAAGGCCTTTGCTTAGTTCTTCATCCAGCTTTTAAAAAAAATCACCTGAGATATTGAAAAGGGCTTTGTCCTGCTGGTGTTGCATGACCTCTTTCTGTTTTTAAAGCTGAGGAGCATGAGTTTGCCTTGATATTTTGTGACATTGCTGATTGACTTATGAACCAAACACATTTGTTGTAATATATTTGAAGGATTATAAACCACTTTGCCAACCAGTTGGTGGTATACAAAGGGTTGGAAAATAAAACGGAGAGCCAGTGTGGTGTAGTGGTTAAGAGGTCTGGGACTCAGGCAATCTGGGTCCAGGTTCCACTCGGCCACGGAGCCCACTGGGTGACTTTGGGCCCGTCCCAGACACTCAGCCCAGCTCACCTCACAGGTGGTTGTTGTGGGGATAAGGTAGAGAGCAGCAGGAAGAGAATGATGTAAGCTGCTTTGAGCTATTTAAAAAAATGAAAAAGTGGGGTATAAATCGTTTAATACATATTTAATTTTATACATAAAAAATCATAAAATGGTGGGCCAGTCACTGCTGGGAGCTGATAAAGATGCAACAGCATGGTGAATGGCAAGCGCACCGGCTGTGCTGCCAGGTGGACATTCCCTTCCCTGCCCTTCCCGTCTCATTCAGGTTTACCCCGACGGCATCCGGCACATCAGGGCAGACAAGCGAGTCAACGAGTGGAAGACGCCGGGGAAGAAGACCATTGTCAAGTGTGCTGTGAACCAGAGGCAGGTGGTGATCGCGCTGACAGGAGGAGAGCTGGTCTACTTCGAGATGGACCCGGTACGTGAGCTGTCGGGCCTAGGCGGGCTGGCGGATGAGTGGGCTCTCACCCTTGCAGTGGAGCGGGAGGGCCTTCTGCGCCGAAGCGCTTGGGTCCGGTGAGCCAGCCTGTCCGGCACAGAGCGCAAGTGCTTGGAAGCGGCAGTGGGAGCCTGAGAGGGGCAGCTGGGAGCAGCAGAAGGCCACGGCTGGGCTCTGTTTGCTTCAGTGGGACGGCATGCTGGGAAAGGGTCCTGCCTTGGATGTGGGTGTCTCTTTCCCTGCCCTTTTGGTAGCTCGGTTTAAGAGTAGCATGTTGTTAAAGAGTGTGTAGCCGCTCGTGCGACAGTCTTTCAGGCGCCTCCGAGGCAGTGCTGGCTGGAGTAGGCAAGGAGTGTGGGGCTCGTCCTTCGTGTGGCGCCCCCCCCCGCCCCCGCCCTTGGAGCTGCTGTGCTTGGGTTGCCTGACTGGACGCGCCCTCCCTTCCCAGTCAGGGCAGCTGAATGAATACACCGAGAGGAAGGAGATGTCCGCTGACGTGGTGTGCATGAGCCTGGCCAATGTTCCCCCGGGAGAGCAGCGCTCCCGCTTCCTGGCAGTCGGCCTTGTGGACAACACCGTGCGCATCATCTCACTCGACCCCTCCGTAAGTTCCTGCCGAGAGCGCCTGCTTCGCCTTCCTGCCACCGGCTGATCGGAATTAAAGCAGAGTTGCTGGGTGGGGGGGCGCTTCATTTCCCCCACTGGGGAGGGTTCCAGGATCGGCGCCAAGGATCATCCTTTCATGAACGAGAGAATGTCCTGGCTGCGCCCTGCCTCCATAACGTTTGCTTACCAAGATTATATTTATTTATTATGTGTTAAAAGCTTTTCTAACCTATTCACTGCAGTCGTGTTGGGGTGGCTCCCCAGTACGCAAGCAGAGCGTATTGGGAGCAAGCCGGACCCGGAAGCAGGCAGAGCAGCAGGGCTGGATTCACCAGGGGGAGCACTCGTGCAGCCTGCCAGCGTTCCTCAGTTTTGGCCCACTCTTGCTGGACTCCTGCTGCTTCTCCAGCCTGGCCGCTTTTGCACATTAGGCTGTTCCAAAAGGCCAGCCTCTGGTCACTAAGAAGAAGCGATGTAAACCTTAGAATGAGGAGCCCTTTGCCTGATGGTGGACCGAACCTCCTCAGCCCACCTTGGCTTATTGAACAGGAGCAGTGTGGGGGAGCACCGGCCGAGTTCCACGGGCCCAAGGGAGGACGGGTCGGCACCTGCAGTCCTGCGAACACCTCAGTTCCCCAAAAGGGCCAGTGGGGCGGCTCTTGGAAGAGCTCCTCTTGGAGAGGATGCATCGCCCCACAGGCTGCTCAAAGTGGCCCTCTTTGCTGCACCAAGAAACATGTCCCGCCCGGTCTTTGTACTCCTGCAAAAGCCCTCTCCCTCCCTCCTCCTCAGGACTGCCTGCAGCCCTTGAGCATGCAGGCGCTCCCTGCCCAGCCAGAGTCGCTGTGCATCGTGGAAATGGGTGGCGCTGAGAAGCAGGACGAGCTGGGGGAGCGCGGTTCCATTGGCTTCCTGTACCTGAACATCGGCTTGCAGGTGAGGGCCCGCCAGGCTTTTTGTTGGAGCTTGTTCAGCTGAGGCGGGACCTCTTCCCGGAGCGTGGCGTCTGGGGCTGCGAGGGGCAGGGTGCTCGCTGCAAATGGGCCTCCAGAGCCGACGACGCGTCCCGCCTCGACCTGGTGGGGCCTGCTCTGAGGTCAAGCACGATGCTGCGGGCAGGCGGCCATACCAGCAAGGCCGGTGTGCTCCTCGCTGCTGTCCTGAATACCTGGGGAGGGGAGCCTGGAAAGCCCCTCCCAAATGACTGAGACTGCAAGGAAGGGGGCCTTCTGTCTGCTGGCAGCGGGCCTCGTGTCGGGCCTTGTTTCATCTCGTTTCAGAAGCCTGCCATTTTCACCAGCAGTCTCATCCCTCCTTTCTTAGTCTGAAAAGTGAGAAAGTCTGCCTTAGTTGCAGGGCTGTGTGTAGTCCTGCTCATGCCCAAAGGGAGATGATGGGGGTCACGTGTGAGGGTTAACGGGCAGTCCTGAGTAACCCGGGCCCTCTGTCTGTCCCCCCCACCCCTGCGATCCAGAATGGGGTTCTGCTCCGAACTGTCCTCGACCCAGTCACTGGAGACCTCTCCGACACAAGAACCAGGTACCTCGGGTCACGCCCCGTGAAGCTGTTCCGCGTCCGGATGCAAGGCCAGGAAGCGGTGAGTGGGGGGGCCGTGTGCTCGCTGTGCATGTCGCCTGGAAAGGCGGGTGGGGGGATCCTGTGGCCGCTGCAAGGAGCAGACGGTCTCGGGGGAGGGGCCTCAGTCTGTCCTCTGGCTTTGGGGCTGGGAGGAGCACGTGCGAGAACGAGCGCAGGACAGAGAGCCTTGGGGCCAGGAGAGCCATGCTGGCGCGGCCAGCTCTGGGCCTGCTTCCGTGCCAGGCAGACGTTTGGGAGGTGGGAGATTTTCTTGGCCGGGAGGTGTCGCAGAAGGATGGCGCGCCGAGCCCGATCGTGTGCTCCTTTCGGCTGCGGCAGACCGGCCCCCTGTGCTGAGGCAGCTGCTTTGCGCAGAACGGGGCCTTGGGAGCGCTTCCGTCCTACCCCCCGTCGGCTGGTGCACGCCAGCCAGCAGCGGATGGAGACGAGTCTCTGCCAGGCCGCTGCTGTGCGGGCGTCTGGAAGGGCCGCTGCACCGGCTTCCAGATTCCCTGCTTCGGGACAGGCAGCGGAGGGGCGCTTTGGATCCTGCTGGGCCGCCCCTTGCTTGCCATGGTGGGGGAAGGGGGAGTGTCGCTCTGGGGAGTGTCCGGCTGGGAGGTGCGGGGGCTCTTACTCTGCCGTTGTCCCTGCCCTCCCGCTCCAGGTGCTGGCCATGTCGAGCCGTTCCTGGCTGAGCTATTCCTACCAGTCCCGCTTCCACTTAACCCCGCTCTCGTATGAAACCCTGGAGTTTGCCTCTGGCTTCGCCTCCGAGCAGTGTCCAGAGGGCATCGTCGCCATCTCCACCAACACCCTGAGGTTCGTTTCGTTGGAAGACGTTGGCAAGAAGGGAGGCAAGCAGGACTGAGCAGGCCCAGAGCGGGGCCTTCCCTCCCGTCCAGTTAATCAGGCTGCTGCTAAGACTGTCCTGATTCGTGACATGTGCTGCTTCGCCAGGCAGGGGTGGGCTTTCCGCTTGGCTCTCCCCTGAGGGTTGGTCAGCTGCACGGGGACAGCCAAGGGGGCGTTCTCTGAGGCCGCCCTCCTGATTCCTAAGACTTCGGGGGCACGGCGACAACTGCGGAGACGCGCCGGCCAGCCTACTGGAACTGGGGCCTGCTCTTTGGCGGAAAAGCTCCGGCATCCGCCTGGCAGAGAAGAGGAACCGGGAGGCTTTGCGCCGCAGCCCATCTGTGAGGCTGCCTGCGCTGTGGCCATCGAATCCTGCTCCATGTGGTGTCGTGGGCCCACGGGGGCCCCTTAACGTCCATGACCCTTTGGCTTCCGCAGGATCTTGGCGCTGGAGAAGCTTGGTGCGGTCTTCAACCAGGTCGCCTTCCCCTTGCAGTACACCCCCAGGAAGTTTGTCATCCACCCAGAGAGCAACAACCTGATCATCATCGAGACCGACCACAATGCCTACACCGAGGCCACCAAAGCCCAGAGGAAGCAGCAGATGGCCGAGGTAACTGGAGCCGCCCCGCCTAGGGGAGTGGTGAGCGGATTCCCTGGCCCAGAGCTCGGATCTTTGGCTGTCCAGTGGGGCAGTCCGGAGATGAGCAGCTGAGGGGAGCGGCAGTGCGAGCCCAGGAAGCAGGGCGTCTTTCCAGGCAGAGGGCTCCCGTGGCCAGCAGTCGTGGCCAGCACTGCTCAGTTTCTGGCCCATTCTCTGGAGGTTTCTCGGGTGATTGCTGATGCCCGTGTGCCCCTGGCAGGATCGGTGCTGCTGTGGATGGAGGCTTCCCTCATTCTTTTGCCGCAGCCCAGCTTGCGGGAGAGGACGAGCGCTCTCCTGGCTTGGGGAGTGGACTGGGGGGAGGCCTCTCCTGCCCACGAGAGTCCAGTGGCATGCTGGTGAGCACCTCTGGAGGCCGGTCCAAGCGCTGCAGTTCTCGCACACGTGTGCTCTGGAGAGCAATTCCTGCAGCTTCTTCTGAGCTGGCCTGGCCCATGAGGCTTCCTCTGCTCTGTGTCTTTGAATCACCCGGCAGGGAGGGTGCCGTCCGGAGCGTGGTGGGGAGAGCTGGTCCAGAGCAAGTGTTCCCACGGAGAAGGCTCTGCCGCCCTCTGCCAGGCCTGCTCCCGGCCAGGCCCTCTGCCGAGGTGCAGCTGCCTCGAAGGCCTGCGGTGAGCTTGGCCTGTCGCGGCCCAGGCCTTGGCCATCTCTGGGCACGAGCCCTGAAGCATGTGGGGTGCCTTTGGCGCTTCCGTCCTTCGCAGGAAATGGTGGAGGCGGCAGGGGAGGATGAGAGGGAGCTGGCGGCCGAGATGGCGGCGGCGTTCCTGAATGAGAACCTCCCGGAGTCCATCTTTGGCGCCCCGAAGGCAGGCAACGGGCAGTGGGCCTCGGTGGTGAGGGTGATGAATCCCATACAAGGAAATACATTGGACCTGGTCCAGCTGGAGCAGAATGAGGCCGCCTTCAGGTGAGGTTCAGTCTGCGCTCAGAGAGAACTGCTGCTTGTCCTGCACGCCTCTCGCGCCGGCTGCAGCGTTCTGGGGAGCTGAATGGGGCCCCCGTCTGGGCCCAAGGGGGCCGTTCCAGGGGGAAGCGGGCCTCGAGTGGGCGGGCCCAAGGTGCTGGTCTGGCCTGTTCGGAGCCACTCAGAGGCAGGTGGGTGGGGCTTCTGCGTGTCGGCTCGGAACGGAGCAGGGCAAGATGGATGGTGCCCTCCTCAGCCCTGTCCCTCTGCCCTGGGAGCAGGAGCGTTCCCTCCCCATCCCGATGCTGGTCCATGCGGGGAGGCCCCGGGGAGCAGTGCCCAGGCCAGCTCGCGTGCGCCCCCAGCCGCCACAGCTCCCTGGCTGCCCCCTCACGCATGCACCCCGGGCCTCCCGCAGCGTGGCCGTGTGCCGATTTGCCAATGCCGGGGATGACTGGCATGTCCTGGTGGGAGTGGCCAAGGACCTGATTCTGAATCCGCGCTCCGTTGCCGGAGGGTTTGTCTACACCTACAAGCTGGTGAACAGTGGGGAGAAGCTGGAGTTCCTGCACAAGGTGAGTTGCTGCGGCAGCCGGCCGTGGCATGTGCGCTCCGGGGGGGGGGGGCAGGCGCCGGGCTTGGGAGCAGCCACACTGCGCCACCGTCGGGGGTGTGGGGGGGTAGTCCCCGCGGCTTTCCTTGGCTCGGCTCAGCTTCGCGGCAGAGGCTCCTGGCGGTGCTCAGGCACAGCATCTCTGACAGGCCTCCCTCCGCTCTCTGCCAGACGCCGGTGGAAGAGGTCCCTGCAGCCATCGCCCCGTTCCAGGGCAGGGTGCTCATCGGGGTGGGGAAGCTCCTGCGTGTGTATGACCTGGGCAAGAAGAAGCTGCTGCGCAAGTGCGAGAACAAGGTATGCGCGAGGGGCCAGTGCAGAGTGCCTGCTTGGCATCTTCTCGGAGGGGGCGCCCTCGGGGCTCCTGCGAAGCCGGCTTCTGTGGGTGCTACCAGCAGGGGCCTCTCTGTCCTCGCACTTTCCTGGGCTTTGCCGTGCCTCCTGTGGCCATGCAGGCTGCCCATCCCTAAATGAGTCCCCCAGCGTGCTCCCCCCATTCATCCCGGACTGCATTTCTCGAGCCCTTCCGTGCTCTCAGTCTGCCTCGTGGTCTCCAGTGATCACCACTTCCCAAAGCACCAGGGGCCGATAGGTCTGCTGGCCATCCTCTCCACTGTGGCAGTTCTGGTCCCAGCTCCCACCCCGACTTTTAGGGCTCGAGTCACCACTCTGTACAGAACGGGTGCTTGCTGCCTGTTCGTTGGCTTCTCCTCAAGCCGGCAGGCCTTGTTCGCAGCCCTCCGGAACCCAGAGGGCCACTGGGGAGGAGAGAGGCGGCATCTGCTGTGGGCGAGTGCCTGCAAGGAAAGGCTTGCCTCGCGCCCAGAGGAGCGCGGAGCAGAGGCTTTGGCAGCCCGGAGCAGGGCCCTTTGGAAAGGAGCTGCTCTGTCGAAGGGGCCGCTGCGCGTGAGCCCACCCACGCAGGCCCCTGTGCACGCCTTCCTGACCCGCCGCCCTTCACAGCACATCGCCAACTACATCTGTGGGATCCAGACCATCGGGCACCGAGTGATCGTGTCGGATGTCCAGGAGAGCTTTATCTGGGTGCGGTATAAGCGGAACGAAAACCAGCTGATCATTTTTGCAGACGACACGCACCCGCGCTGGGTGACGACCGCCTGCCTCCTGGACTATGACACTGTGGCCGGGGCCGACAAGTTCGGCAACATCTGCGTGGTGAGTCAGCCCGCGGGCGACGGAGTGCCTCAGCCCCCGCCTGCCCTGTGCAAGCTGCTGGGGCGGCCCCGGCTCCCGGCTGGTGCTCGACATTCCCCCGCGGGCAGCCGTCACGGCCGGCCTTCCTGGCTTGCCCATGGGCTGCCCGCAGTGAGCCCTCGGCCAGTGCCCACCCGGCTTGGCGCGCCTGGATTGGGGCCTGCGGGAGCCTCCTGGTGATGGTGTGGGCACGGGGTGCTTTCCAGCGGTGTGGCGAGTCGCCCACTTGTGTCCCCGCCAGGTGCGGCTGCCACCCAACACCAACGATGAGGTCGACGAGGACCCCACTGGCAACAAGGCGTTGTGGGACCGTGGCCTGCTCAATGGTGCTTCCCAGAAGGTATCTTGAACCGGCTCCTCCGGGGCCTTTCCTTAGTTCTCGGCTCTTAGCTAGTTCCTGGTTCCCATGCTTCTCCACGGCTTGCTTTCGGGGAATGCACATATCAAAACATCTTCCAGTTTTAGAAAATGGAAAGAGTCTTGCAAAAATCAAATGATAGAGATGACTTCAAAGGGGATGCAGCTGTGAGCAGCACTTTGCTTCTCGGGGTAGGCAGGACAGGCCGTTCCAGCCACAGAGGTGTGCGCCTGCTGCTGAGACAGCTCCCCGGTGGAGTCAGTCTGCCGGGCTGGGTTATCTCAGCCGGGGGGAGAGGTGGGGCGTACCTGGGCGAGGAAGGCCTTGGCCAGAGCGGGCGAGGCCAACTTCTCCGGCTGAAGCGCTCTGCCTCACATCCAGGCAGAGGTGATCATGAACTACCACGTGGGAGAAACGGTGCTGTCCCTCCAGAAGACGACTCTCATCCCCGGCGGCTCTGAATCGCTTGTCTACACCACCCTGTCTGGAGGCATTGGCATTCTGGTCCCGTTTACCTCGCACGAGGTGAGCTTTGTGGGGGGAGCGTTTGCAGGGCGCCAGGGCCTCTGCGTGACGTGCAGCCGTTTCCGTGCCCCGGGGCAGAGCGGGAGGGCCCCCCAGAGGAGGAGAGGCCACTGGGCCTGCGGGCCTCCGCCTCCCGCCCTGGTGGTGGAGACATGTTGGGGGCGGCCTGCAGCCCGTGGATGCCGGAGCGTTCGGCGTGCGCCGCTCAACCCGCCTTGTAAAGCCACGGCTGCAGCGGCCGCCTGCCCACAGCTCGGGAGCTGGCAGGCTGCAGTGCCCTGGCCCGGATGCTGCCGGTGGAGGTGACTGTGCCCGCCGCTCCTTGCAGGACCACGACTTCTTCCAGCACGTGGAGATGCACCTCCGGTCCGAGCATCCGCCCCTCTGCGGACGAGACCACCTCAGCTTTCGCTCCTACTACTTTCCGGTCAAGGTAGGGCTGAGGGGCCGGTAGGCATGGCGAATGTGGGGGTGGGCTGCAAGAGCCCTGCCCTCGCGAAGGGTGTTCCCTGCTTCCTCTTCACGCAGAGTCAGCAGCAGCTGCCCACTACCGAGTGGCTTTTCCAAGTAACGGCCCTGTGAAGAGCCGTTAGGTCATTGCTGGAGGGAGCCCGGCGTTTGGGCTCTCTGGCCTCCCTTCGCGAAAGATGCCCCGGGGAAAAGCCCCTTCCCCACAGCCCCTTGCCCAGGGGCTGGCGGGGCGTGGCCAGGAGGTGGTGGATGCGCCTGGGCAGCCTGCGCAACCCAGCACAGCCTCTCCACTCGGCTCCCTTCCCTGCGCAGACCCTGGTTCAACCAGGAGTGGCACAGATGTGCCGGTCGGCGTTCCCTGCCGGAAGCAGCCTCATGCTGGTGTGGCCCCAGGCCTCCGTGGTCGCCTCGCACGGCGTGGCCTGTGCTGTGGCGTGCTTTTGCCCGGACCCGCCAGGCTTCGGCGCAGAAGCGCTGTGGGGGTGTGAAAGGCTTCCTCCAGGCTGCCGGTTCCCAAGCAGTGGCTCCCCGCCATGCGGCCAGAGGTTCCCGCCCTCTCGCCCCACGTGCATTCTGCTCAGCTCCTTCTTGGACTGCAGGGATGCTGCAGCCTGGTCCCACACGGCCCGCATAGCTCTTGGTGCCGTTCTGCTTTTTGGAGCAGGTTTTTCTATGAAATGCGTGGGGCACAAGGCTGAATGGGAGCACAGGCCGTTCTTCCCCACCTGGCCGGGGAGCCTTTTGTCCTCTCGCTCTCGGGCCAGATGACCGAGGCCCATGCCTGCTGCACAAACCCTCCAATGGCGGCCTGCTTCCTCCTGCCAGAACGTCATCGATGGGGACCTGTGCGAACAGTTCAACTCCATGGAACCTAACAAGCAGAAGAATGTGTCGGAGGAGCTGGACAGGACGCCCCCAGAGGTGTCCAAGAAGCTGGAGGACATCCGCACCCGCTACGCTTTCTGAGCGGGCTCACGGTCCGGGCCGGGTGGAGAGGCAGTGAGCGCAGCACACACCCAGCCTGTCCCACCTCCGTGGCCGTTTGGTACCTGGGACTCAAAGGCAGCCTTGCCCTCCGCCTGTCTTTCATGTGCTGCTCCAGAGGCCGGGAGTTGTTCTGGCTCCCCTTTGGGCAGGGGGGCAGCCCCCACCATGAGGACCCCACCCTCCCAGTCCACGAGCCTTGCCACACAGGCCTCCCTTCCCCAGCCGTCGGGGTGTGGGGAGGCTCAGGGGCCCTTTATGCCTTTCCGGTCAGCGCCTGGCACGTTCCTGTTCTTTCTGGTTTTATCTCTGTTTTGTAAATACCTTGTGCTGAGCCTTGGCCTCCGACTGTGGATGGCTGGCCTGACCCGAGGCCTGGCCTGCGCTTCCCGCTCCCAGCCTGTGCCACAGCGGGTGCTGCAGGGTTGGCCCAGCTCCCCTCCTCTCCTCCCATGTGCTGCTCCCCGGGCGGGCAGTCAGGGAAGGGACAGCAGTCCCCGGGGAATGGCCCGAGGCTCGCCTACGAAAAGCTTGGGAGCCCTTGGATGGGCTGCTGCAGCTGCCTCTGCTCCCAGCGGGGGGTACGTTGGCAGGAAATGCCTGGCAGGCCTGCTATCTGCAGCTCTTCCCGCCCCCCCCTTCTGCCAATTCAGAAAATTGGAGGAGCTTCCCTGCCCTCCAGGGGCCATGCTGGGCTTACCACCTTGACACCGACTTCCTGCTTTTCACTTAAAATACGCTTTGGACACATTGCTGGGATGCCACAGTCCAGTCCTGGCACTGATGGAGGCAAGGCCGAAAAGCGCCATGTGACATGAGGCCGCCTCACTCACTCCCAAATCCACAGGGACAGGCAGGGGAGGGGCGGCACCCGCTGTTTTAATTACAGTACAACTTTTATTAATACTGGAATCTTCACAGTGCATTCGTTACTTGTAGCAGTGACTACCTTAAATGAAGGGAGGAGAAGGATGATTATTTTTAAGAAAGAAGGCATGGGAAAATAAATTAGAAAAGGAAAAAGTTAACAGCACCAGGATAGTTAAGGTCAGTTGACAGACATTTCAAGAGTGTGTTTCTCTGTACAAAAAATAAAAAGCAAAACGCAGACATTTGTCACACATTGTCATGGTTGCTTCTAGTCGCGGCAGGGAGGTGTGGGCCCCACGGGAGGGCTGCGATGTCAGGACAAAATGCACTACTATGACAGTGTGACAGGAAGGAAGGTGCGAGGCAACGCAGAGACGTGATGGCGCAGAGGGGCGCTTGCTGCAGCACTATGTACAACCGGGCCTGGCCAGTGCGCATTGGCAGGATGGGGGCGGCAGGTGGGCTTGTGCTTTTGGAAGGGCCCCCGCAGGGCAGTGCTGCCCAGGCTGTCTCTGCTCGCCTCTGCCCTGCAGGGACCACCACCCTGTTTTCCAAGACCTAGAGCTCCAGGCTAGACTTTGCACTTAAAGGCTAGACTTAGAGACAGGATCCCATTCCGAACACTTCTGTTCCACAACCGGGTTGTTCTGCTCTGTCAGACTTTGCGTGTGCGTGCGTGCGTGGGGGGCACCACAAGGCCATTTTCCTCAGGTGGGCAAGCACCTTTGGGGACTCTGGCTGGTGGATTGCTGGCAACTGCATGTCTCTGAAACAGCTTGCTTGGGCACTTACATTGCGCCCGGTTGCTGCTGTTGCAGGAGAGCAGAGGCAGGGCTGAGGGGGTAAGCAGGTCAGGGGTCAGGCCCTGCCCAATTCTGGGGCTGCCCCACATGGGCCTTCTTGGAAAGATTGCTCCCTGCCCCACCTCACCTCCCCGGACAGGCTCAAGGGAAGTCCAGGGCACCCCGTTTTCCTCACCTTCAGCTCTCATTTGTGGACCAGCCGCCCCCCGAACAGCGCTTTCCATCCCTGTGGAAATACAGTGCCTGTGATTCTCCAGTTGTGCTACGGGCACTGGTCCAGCACAGCTGGGGGCTGCCAGGGCTGGCTTGGTCCCTTCACCCGACTGTTGCCTTCTCGAACTCCAGCCTTCTTGATTGCTTTTCCAAACACACTATCCAACCTCACTTGCCATTTCCAACAGCCCATTTTGAGGCTTTCTGCGAAACGAAGGGGGCAAGGGCGGGCCCCGAAGCGCTGCTGCAGGTGCAGCACTTTCTGCTGCACTCCCGAGCTGCCCCGCCCGGGCACCATAGGCACGCTCCCCCTGAGCATCACGTCTGCTGGTGCCCTCTTGACTACCATGGAAAGGGCCCTGAGCAGCAGCGAAGGGAGCTGGTGCTGAGCAGGAGCCGTGAGGAAGCAGTGGGGTGTTGCAAACTGGGGGCGCAGAGCAGGGCTGGCTCGGCCCACTTGTGCTGGGCACTCGCTCCCGGATCAGAACCACAGTGTGGAGCAGGGTTTGGCTTTAGGCGCTAATTTGGCAAGCTATTCAGCGACGTTTAGTGTAACAACACGCACTGCAAAATGCGCAGCTTTGGAGTGCGCACAGGCCTAGAAAAGGCACGGGAGGGGTTGTGCGCTCCCGGAGTCAAGCAAGTCGCTTGTGACGCTGGCACAGCCAAGACCCTCCCCCAGCTGCACCTGGCCTGGCCCTCCTGCCAGGGGCACGGACGGCGTGCTTTCAAGCGGCACTCCAGCTTGACCGGTCGCACCACCCCACCGCACCAGGCCATTCATTCCCAAGGCAAGGCAAGGCAAGGCAGCAGCAGCTGGGGGTGTGAGCAGGTGGCGGGGGGCTCACATCAGGCTGTGCCAATTAATGGATGCTACTAAAGACCTGGAGAACAAAACCGGAACTACTGAAAACTGCTTCGGAGCAGTTCAAAAACCAGAGGTCCCATCCAGGTTGGTTCCCTCTCCCTGCTGCTACCTCAAACATGGATCCCTCGCTGCAGAGGCAGGGTGGGGACTGTGCTTGCCTGGCCAAGCCCGGCTCCCCAGGGAAGGGTGCTGCGGCACTTGCGTGTGCAGCATGCGCACAGCCTTGTTGCCACCATCCTTCCAGGTGCTGCAGCGACATTGGACTGCTTCTGAAGTATCCCCCCAAAAGGGGCAGTTTGGGGTGCACGGGCTCCAAAGCAGCCCCTTCGTGCCGAGCACGCCTTGAGTTGCACATGAAATGGTCACATGGGGACCACCCCAGAAGGCCGTCCCGTGGCAGAGCCACACTCCAGCCCACCCACTGACCTGCAGGCATCTCCGGCAGGGTGCCTTCCCTCCCCCACCCCAGGGACCCTGGCCCTTCTGCATGCCACATGGGCAGGCCAGCACGAGGCGCTTGCCCTCTGCTATCCCCAGCGCACACCCATGTCTGAGCTCACCGATGAGACTGCTGCCTTGAAGGCATCTGGAAAAATGTAGGCACGTACCCCCCCCACACACCTACCTACGCCCCCCCCCGTCCGCTGAGCCACCAGGCCAACTGCCGCTGCCCTCATTCCACCCAGGAGCCTCAGGCTCTCCCCCGTGGCCCATCGCCTCCCACTGGACAGCTGCGCCCAAGCCGGCTTTTCACTGCCCCCCCCCCCCCCCAGAGCCACTGCCAGATTCAAGATTCAAGCCAG